AATAATCCTTTCGTGGAAATGCACTATGGCACCGCCGGCCCCGTGCAGCGTTCGCTGAATATGCCCCACGTCGTCTTATTGTCCGCGGGTTTATCCGCCCGTACGAACACCTTCAATCAATTGCGGAGTGAAACTGACCCTCCGCCGTGTGTCACGGGCGTTTCATAATGGACTCTACCGTTCGTATCAATTAGGTAGCATTCATAACGTTCTTGTTGGCGATACCAGAGAGACGAAGATCTTTTATCCTTAGCTCTTTCATCGGGGGAGGGAGGGGCGGGGAAGGGGCGGTGCTCAAAAGAAAACTTTCGCTGCCTAGCGTAGCTTTCTATCAAATTGACCCGAGAGCCGTGTGAGAATCACGGATCTCGATCGGTCTCTTACGGATGATTTTGTCCCCGGTCATTTGCCGGTTGGTAGTTACGACCGAGACTTTCACCGTTTCCCGCGGTACTACTCGGCGAACACTGCACCTCACTGCGCGAGCCGCGCGTCGCGCAATTCTCTCAGGAATTCCAGCCGCGGAAAAGTTGAATGAATGAATACGAGTTTCCCAACGGCGGCAGCGGCGGTGGCGGCTGTGGCGCGCGCGAGCGAGACGCGTTCCTACCGAAGGGAAGGATAATATCACGACAGTATACTAGAAAGAGCGATCCCGTTCAGGACACCACAATCCTGACTGATCATTTCTTTCAGACACGGCACGAGGACGAGGCAAAGCGCGAATGACCTATACGATGACAAAGAATTTCCATTAATCCGAGAAATTTCCTCTCGGAGAGCTTTCTCTCTCTACCTCCCCTCCCTCCCACCCCTTTCTTTCTCAGTCTCAATCGAGACGCGCCTGAAGATATATGGTTGTGGAAACTTACACCTCGCAGTCACGGATCTATGCATGCGCGCAGGCGAGAGGCGTGTGTGTGTGTGTATGCTTCATCTCTCGAACGAACTCCGCGTTCCATCGAAAATTCCGTTCCTCCGCTCCGTTCACACAAGGTACATATCACACACAGGTACATTAAGCCGCTCGCGCTCCTGCGCGCACGTGCGTGAGAGCGCGCGCTAGAAAGGGTTGAGGTTATCGGCGGCGCCTCGCGCGAACGAGGAGGCGAGCGGGAGCGGCGCCCAGGAGAGACAGAGACGCGCGACACCAACACACCGCGCGGTTGGCCCGCGTGTATGCACACGGTGCACGTGTCGGGGCGGTGCGGTGGTGGGGAGAAAACGTGAATGATCCATAGAGAGTCTGCATGATGGTGTGCAAAGGTGTAATGCGTGTTGCGATGGTGAGCGTGAGAGTGCCCCGTCGGCGCGCTCGCGCTCCGCGCTGTTCGGTGTTCCAGCGGCTCTCAAAAGCGCTCAGCCGGCACGTCGCCTTGCGGCGTGTCAGCAACGACGAGCCGAGGTGGACATCCTAGTGATACCGTGAGATATGCTCGCGTAATGCCCGTCGGGGTCGATCTTGACGACTGTCGGACCTCGGTCGGAGTATCGGGAAGAGAGAGACCGTCGAGTCGGACGGAGTGAATCGGACATCCAGCTGCCGGTCGAGCACCGCTAAACTACGTCATCGGTACACGGCACTACGCGGCGCGGTGGGGTAGAGTCGAGATAAGCGGTAGTGGTGGTGATGTAAAACATTCGTGAGTCGGCTGGTTGGCGGCATCGGCAGGCCAGGGAGCGGTACGGGAGAGTTAGGTGCGACGCGGAGCAAGAGAGGAAACAGCGCGGCGGCGGTTTCGGCTTCTCGGCATCGGCTTCGGAAATGGCCGCGGGAAAGTAGAGAGCGGAGCGTTTCGTCGCTGGCTGGCAGGCTAGTTGGTCGGTTGGCCGGGTTGGTTGGTTGGTCGGTTGGTCGGTTGGTTGGTCGGTCGGTCGGTCGGTCGGTCGGTCGATCGGTTGGTCGGTTGGTTGCTTGGTTGAAATTTTTCGAGGACCGCGCGCTCGTTCATCCGGCTCGTCGGGTGCGCACGCGATCGATTCACGACGTCAGACGATTCCGGAGAGCAGCGCGAGATGTGAGAAACAGAGAGAGAGAGAGAGAGGGAGAGAGAGAGAAAGAGAAGAGTGAGAGGGTGAGAGAGAGAGAGAGAGAGAGAGAACGACGTGTGTGTGTCACGACACGACGACGTGAAGACGACGTGATAGAGACCGTACGACGACCTGGATATAAAGAGGATACATCTCTCTTGCGTGCTCTGATATCAGGATGGCCGGCGACGACGGAACGGTGATGAACAATGAGATCGTCGGTATGGAGGGCGGAGAGGGGCACGGTGCTTCGGTGCGGGGGGAACTGCATTCCAGAGTGGGCGGCATTCTGGAATGCGATCCCCCCGGTAACAGGAATTCGTCGAACGAGCGAGCCGCCACCGCCGCCGACGACGACGAGGACGGTGTCTGCCGATATGCGGTCGGCGCTGCTAACCGCGCTATGTCTTTCTTCGAAATTTGCCAGGTATCGTATATCGGCGGTCGAGTTGCTTTTTTACGCTCACTCGGTCCGCGGAGCTGCCGGCACCGTCGTCAAATGTCAAGCATCGATATGTCAAATTGAACTCCGATCACTGCCGATCACTGCGTCTGCTGCGGTCGGATGTTGAATTTGACTCTTGTGCAATTTCTCATCCCCTGCAATGTATTATTTCTCGTTACGCTCACTGTGTGGGAATTGCACTTACTTGGCTCACAGTGAGACGTTTTGTCTTTTAGATACGGCTTCAATATCTCTTCCCACAATTGGCCCCACCCCTGCGGTACAATATCCACGAGGATTCCATCGAGTCGACTGCGGAGAGTCTGGCTAATGATGTGATGCGGTATTTGTTGAAGGAGGATATCTATCTTATATCCCGGGACCCAATATCCCGCAGTATGAGGCACAATGTGTATCAAATGCTCAACAAACACAGCATTCTCTTTGCAAGTATGGTAAACCGTTTGAATGTTGTCCCGGATACTGCATATGAAGCATTCATGGGAGTCGCCAATGAACTGTTTTTACACGGTGTTACCACATGGGCTAAGATTGTTTGCTTGTATGCTTTTATGGGCAGATTGGCCTTATGGGCTAGAGATAAAAGAATGCACACTCTTAAGAAAAAACTGCCATTGTATGTCTCAAGATACGTTGGTGAGAATGTGGCACACTTTATCAAAGGCTATGGATGGGTAAGTACATGGATTTTGTTGTCAAATCATCAAAGGGTGCGCCAAGTTTTACACAAAATACACATACCTCGTGTCTTTGCAGGAGCAATTGTGCAAAGAGTATCCTGTGGCGGATGAAGTTAGCGGAGCAATTTGGAGAAGCTTGTTAATGACCGGAGCCACTCTCGGTTTGATTGCTACAATCTTGTCGGTAACTTCCTGATGGAATCTCACAGAATCGTGCGGTCTAAGTGTGTTTCGTCCAAGAAATTTTCGCGTACTTATGTTCTGTGAGAACACACTCGAAAGAAATATAAAGAAATTCGTATAACGTACGCACAATGTTACAACACTTCACGTGGACGTCGGAACGGTTTGATCCAAACGGCGTACTCGCCCATGTCTCTATCGGGGAACATACGAGAGATTAACAAAAGATACTTCAACGCGTTGACACACATAATTTTCATATCAATGTCACTCGGCTTAGAATCATCCCACATTTTATATAACTCCAGCCAATACATACATAGCATGAGCGACAGACAATGTGTGACACTAGTTTCCTATTGCAATATCTTATAAAAAGAACTAGTGAAATTAGTAGGCAGAACACCTTATTTAATTTTACAATATTTTATATCGAAGTAATTTCTAATAATAATACTCAAAATTGTTGCTTTAGAGCTTTATGTGAAACGAGAATCTCAAAATTTTATTGAATTTAGGTAGACGCAATCTATTTATTTATAATTTATATGTATATTATATATGTTAGGTAGGAGATTACATTAAATAACAAATTTCTTTTCGAGCATGTTTGATCATTTGGTCAGAGACCACATTGATCGTATCCGCACAGAGAGTTTTTTTAAACTTTAAGATATATATCGATAATGCAATTACTATGAAATGTACCGTGATATATCCAGATAGTGGCTACTTTCTTATACGTTGATATATCCCAATACACTCACAAAAATTTTATACACTTATTCAGAATAAATACTTTTGCAAAATAACGGGTTATTACTATGATCATTATCGAAGGAAGGAAAACGAAACTGCAAGAAAGTATCTGCTGCAGAAATGAGTAATTTGTCGATGTAAATTTAGCAATTTTTCTTATATATAAAACAATATCAAGTACTACTATCAATGGAAATTTACAGGGTAGAGCACATGTTACTACTGTGAAAACTTGAACATAATTTTATGAAACGTTCACACTTATATTGCAAATAAACATCACTCATAAAGTAATATGGAGGCTTGTATTGATATAAGTAAGTTTGTTTTCCAGAAAGACTTTGAGAAATGTATGACCTTGAGAGTCAATGTAGAAGAGCATTTTTAATATGTCATAAATTATAAGTGATAAGTCTTAACATACTGTTGCATTATGTCATATGTCAGAAAGGATCAGTCTTAACCACTATGAAATACTGTAAACGACGTACTTCTAATGTATATACGTTCGCAAAATAATCAAAAATATTAACTTCATATAAGATAAATATCATTCCCCCACACTGCAACAAACATAATCCTCTTAATCATATCTATGTAATCTAAAGTATCAATCAACTAAGAATAAAAAGAACATTAACATTTGATATTATGTTTACTGCATGTTTATATAACTCGAAAATAAGCAATGTCATTCTTTCCTATAGGATATGTCATGCGTGTACAAGCGAGCGCAGCTTCCGAGTGGTACAATTATTATTTTACCTCATTCGCACACTGATTTTATTGAAAATAACGTACTTATTTAAACAAGGCTACATTTTATACGTTTATTAAAAATATTTCGAGCTTATTGATTTCCACGACTGTGAACAATTTTAATTGTATGTATAAACATTTTGGATACACAGCTAATGGTGAGTATATCATATAGTAAGGGTGCTGGGATAATTTGCGTCTCTTTATTTCTTAACCAAAGAAAGGAGGGTACATTTCTCTCTGTCAAGGAAATATATATTAACTGTCATTTTTCAGCATCAAAATCTCGTACATATTTTTATATTCGTAATGTCACCAAGATCTATATAATCTTTAAGATTTTTACACTATATATATTGTAATATATTTACAATATATATTATGCATTTGTGATGTTAACGAAAGACAACACCGAACAATGACGAGATATCTATCTGTAGAGATCTCACGGAGATGATGACAATGTATGATATCGATTTGTAACTACAAAAGTAAAGCCACAGTTTTCCTATACTATACTCTAGTAAAATAGCTTATTTTATTATCGCGTAAGTTTTGCTATTTATATTAAATATTCATAAATACCAAAAACGAATGGACAGAGAAATTCTTGACACGAGTTTGCAACTTATACCAACTAAAATGCAATTAAAAGCTCGCATCACTGATTGTATAGTGCCTTCCGAGATATGTTTGATGACTTGACAGCTAAATGTTTCAACTTTTACACATATGCCATGTACAATTTTCGCGAATACGAAGACACTATTCGAAATTTCAAGTTCGAGTCATATACAAGAAGTTTAGGATACCTGCGAATTTTATTTATGTCGGTATCGTAAAGAGAATTTCGAATATGTTATAGTTTGCAAATTAAACAATTTTATAATATATAAAATCGTAAACTAGAGCGGAATACCTCTGACGATTATATCTAACAATTTTCTTATACATCTATTTCTCTCTCATCTCTCTCTTTCTCTCTCTAATCAAAATTTTGCGACTGTACAGAAAACAACTGCATTTTAACTTTTACTTCAGACTCTAATGTGCATCATATAGCAATGATTAACAATTTTCATTTAATAAATCTTCAAAATTTCCTACTTTTTATTACTTTACTACTATTGTTGATATTACTATATTTAAGTATTATATATTTATATATGTGAATATATATATAACTATATTATATCTGTACAAATGGAACTCATTTCAGCTACCACTTATATTGGCAATAAGTGATCATCATCATTATAGTCATCAATCATTAATTAGTTAGCTAATGGTATATAAAACATATCGTCAGCGTTATGGAGATGGTTTATGAAGCGGATTAAAATAAGAGAGCAAGAGATGAAAAGGAAGAAAGAGACAAAGAGCAAGCTATTCAATCAACAAATTCAATCAAAATAAGTTGAAAATACCTGAATACAAAACTTATGTAGGATTATAATCGTTATCTTGATCGATGCTACCATACAAAATATTTAAAGATATTCTTGTGAACAGGATGTTGCAAATTATTTGCAGCATGATAGATTCGTATTTCAAATTGCGAGCTATACCAAATACAAGTTAAGACAAAAGTATTTTACAATTTGGCGCGAGACAAAAGTCGAACAGTCAATTTTTCAATCGAAAAAACTTGTGATAATATAAATACATCTTTTATTATAATGTTTGTCGACCACACAGTGTTCTACTTTTATATGTAAATATGGAGTATGGTGCATGTCAAAGATATCACAAACTTGGCCCCCTTTAAACTGCGCAACGTCAGTATGAGTAACTAATACTTCATTTAGAGCACGATGGAAAAATTTGTGAAGAAATTAAAAATATAAATAGGATAAAGAAAATAATGTATTATATTTTCACTGTCCTACATGGTGTTTTGTATTTAATTTTTTCGAATACACAAGCAAGAGAGAACAGGAGGTTCTATTATTAAAGACGAATACATAACACTGACGATACGCATATAATAATTTAGTGTCTCTTAAAGATTGGCAGTTATAGCCTGGACGTATTGTGGTCCAAAATAGAGCAAAACAGTTAAGATGATTCGTCTTGGTTGTACCTGATTCATTTGGGATGTTTACATCTAAAACAGCTATCTCTAAAAGTAATAGGATAAAAAAAAACTAGTAAAATTGAAAAGATCCTGTGTTATTGGTAAAAGTTGGTGAAACGTGTGTTGAATAAAATAACGGATTTTAGTAGCCGAGATCCCATCCTGTATTGCAACATATTGCTCAATCTAATAATAATGTGATGTCTGTTCTTCGTCTGTTCTATATAATACAATTAATATTCTTATAATTATCTAAAACAATGGGGTACTTTTATCAAGGGTAACCTACAATAATAAACAGCACACAGTAAGCGCAAATCAAAATATTGTCAACTTGATCTGATTGAATTTTAATAGGTCGAGTTCAATATTCATCATAAACGATGGTATACGTGTCGCTACAAACCATATTATATGTTTAAAGTGCATATAACGTTTATCACTTTGTGACATGCTCCATTTCTGTCTCTTGTTAGCTTTCTTGGTTTATCACAGCTGGGGCAGAAGTGGGAAGGAAGAGGATTTGTTGTGTCACACCCCAAGAAGTAAAACTAGTAAAAATTCTCTATTCCTTGTAGTCCCACCATTCCTTCTCGTATCCTTCATAGACATGTTCTAAAAGCACTTTCCTTCGACTATCGCAGTATCTTGAAAAGCAAGTAATATATATATATATATATATATATATAAACGTTTTGCAAATAAAGGACATTATAAATTATAATAGCAGCACAAACATGTACAAATCTCTTACCTATATTTATCCTGAACCTTTTGTTTAATATCTGCAAGATTTTCACTTGTGATATCCCTCTCGAGATATTCAGAGAGACATTCGGTGGCACTCTCCAAATCTTTTTGGTTATCCTCAAAAATCACAGATTGATTGTTCTTCCTCACGTAATAAGCGAAAACGTAAGTGTACATAAGAGTCTGCCTACACGAACACAAAATGTCAACCGCTTTCTTTAAAAATTGCACCTGAAAAAGATGAAAAGTACTAGTGAATGCTCATATATACTTTATATTCGATAAACTCAAAAATTCATATTTTATTATTATTATTATTGTATTAATATACCTCTATCCATGACATGTTGTGTTGTTGCATTTCCTCCATTTTTTCCTTTACACTGGCGTACAGTTTGCTCTCAAATTTTAGTGACTGCATATGATTCATATATCTATTGCAATAAAATAAATATCTCTGTAACGCTGACCTGGATTTTTCTTGCGCATCCCTAGCCACTTTAGCTTCTTCCTCATCATAGCGGTTACAATTGTACCAGCTAGAACCATGAGGCTCCCAAGGTCCGAGACAAACCCAGCAAAATTCAGTTTTACAATTCTGATTTTTGCAGACCATATGGTTACATCCACCATCTTTTTCAATGGTAACATTACACTTGGGACATTCCTTTGTGTTGGCGGCGATCCAGTTTGATGTTTCTGAATCGTCATCACACTTTTTAATCCATTTGCGAAGTAAATGACATTTGACAGGATCATGCCAGTTTTCACCACAATAAAAGCAAAAGGTATGTCCACATTTGCAGGTAACTGGTCTTGATTCTACATACTGGACCTTAACAGCATTATTACAATCAGGAGAAGGACACCATCTTAGTAACCTATTGCACTAAGAGGAAAGAAAATGTAACAAGTGCTTATTTCGACGATATCTTATAAATTTAACAAATATTCACACATCAACAAATATTTACTTCAACAAAGCTGTTGGTAATTAAGTGCTGATACTTCAGTTTAACTTTGGAGTCCTTGACAAGCCGCATAACACTAGCATCATCTACTAAGATGTCACAAGCGTGAGCAGCACATGCTATGGTTTGCCCAACTCCTTCTTCCATGATCTTAGTCGTCAAATATTCTCCCCAACATCCGGTACAAAAACGATGCCCACATTCAAGACCAGTCATCATCTGACATTTTAAATAGATTTTGTAAAGAATTTATCATATTGTCTTTTTTAATCCCCAACTACTACTAAATCTACTTACTGAAGATGGAAGTATCATGAAACAGATTCCACATTCTTCTGTACCATTTGTCGATGTTCTTTTGGACTATTAAACATTAAAAATATAATTTTCATTGATTTGTTAATAACGAGGAGAAAAGTATAATCGAAATAAGCGAGTATATCTTTACCAAGGAACTTTGGGAGGATCGACTTCTACTTATTAAAGGGCCTTTTCTGAATGGATTAATAACTCGTGCTTCAGCAAAGAGTTTCTCTTGATCGCCATCATAAAAACGCTCCATCAGCTTTTCCTTATCCCATTTGAAGTGATTTAGTAAGATACGTGTAGTTGTTGCCGGTATCTGCGGATCAACACACGTGTAGAATGTTTATCCTACCCTGCAGACACTGCAGAGACTTATTCGTAGAACTTACTTCGACAACCGTATTAACTTCCTTTATAGAATCAACCATGTGCTGTACAATTTCCTCTGTGGAAAGCACTTCGAACGGATAGTCATCGACATCGGTGGCTCGTTCACGTGGATTACCAGGCTCTATTTCCATGGCAAAGTCGACGTCATCGCCGCTCGACTCGTTACCAGAGTCGACATCGTCGTAAATCGTTTCCTCTTCCGAATCCATCGTCGTGCAAAACTAACAAACAGTTCTTACACTAATGTTCCTCTCTGGTCAATGAATATATATGCTGTAACTATGCACACAGCATACGATCAGCTCAGTCCTCAGGCTTGTACGTTGGCTTACGTTGGTCGTTTAATACGTGCCGTCGTTTACAATTGATACGCCAATAGCATATCAGTGTATATATTAATAAAATGCACGTTACACATACAAGATACTACGGTACTGATGCGTGCAACACAAACTTGGCATATTAATCGTGACGGTATATTCGTACACGATCCGTGCTGGGCGAAATTCGCGTTATACTTCACAACAATCAGGGAGATTCCTTTCTTTGCTCCTATTCGGTTCACCGTGCGGCAATGCGACGGCGTGTAATTTCGCCGACTTCGAAAAACCCGTCACTCGCACTTGCGTGCTCTCGCGAGATGATGCTACCGACGAAGCGAGATGAAAACAGCTTATGTTTCAGCACATGACGTCATCGTTTCTTGATCCTTGATACTTCCCCGAATAAAGCATCAAGCGAGGCAGCCTCTGGCTGGATCAACGCGTCACCGAGTCACGACGTCGTGCCACCGACTCCCGCCGCGTTCGCCCGTCCGACTTTCCGCGGCAGCGCGGAAGCTCGTGGAATTTTCAGACGTTTCTGTTACGGGGCAAGAAAGAGGACAAATATCAGCTGCCAAAACATCCGAAACGAACACTCCGGCATCTGACGCACTGACAGCTAATGTCACGGCGTACGGAGATGCTCGCACGGGTTGACCGAGAGGAGAGCCAGCGTATATACAGCGTCGTCGAATGGGCGATCATTTAACAACGCATGCCCCCGCGGAATTGATATTTCACGTTCAGCGAGTCAGTTCAGTCGAGGCCACTTTTGCGTGTACGTCCACCTTGCGTAAGCACAATTACGTGTCGCGCGGAACGCGCATCCTAATAAGCGGGCACGATCTCGGAGGACTACGATTTTTACAGTCCGATATAAATACGCGGTCACGAAGGACGCGCATGTTGCAACTCGGCAATTCGATAATCGGCCGTGCGCGCGCTATAATAAACCTCAAGGAAAAATCCGATTTTTCTCTCTCTCTCTCTCTCTCTCTCTCTCTCTCTCTCTCTCTTTCTCACAATTCGATCCCTCGTGCTTGCTCGCGCTGCGCGCGCGCGCGCGCGCCAAAGAAACGTTGGAAGTGTGACACGAGAGGAGCGCGTTCCGTCCGTAGGGATAAATCGACGAAATTTCAGTGCTCGGTGATGAGCTCGGGCTGCGATCGAGAACCGCGCGAACGACGATAAACAATAATCGGGGACGATCAATTACACGCGACTGACATGATACGATCGCGGTCGGCTTTGTCAAAACTCGTCCGCCTCGCGTATCGGAGACAAAGAAAAGCGAACGCCACGGCGGAATGAGAGTTCGCCTCCTGGAACAGCCGTGTTTTGCACCGCGTTGTTGGACGCGCGATACTTGAAAGCGCGAACGTTGCACTCACGAGCACCAGCACAGCACAGAACTACGAGGCCATGTTGCTTGCGTCGTCGTGCGCGCGTTTATCCTCGCCCATTGCAACGGGCACGAGCGGCGCGATCAGCGACGATTAGGACCCCCCGAGTCAACCTCGAACGCACCGTTTGCCATGAAAGAGAGCCTCGAACGAGTCTATAGCTCGGCCACTGCTGCCACGTCCGTGGCGACGCGCGGCATCTCGGATCTCTCGGCGATCGAACGAGCACGCCGTTGTTTCCTACCACCGCCACCGTCGTCGTCGCCGTCGTCGGGCGCGAGAGGAGGAGGATCACGGGAGGTCGTGGACAACGGCGGGTTCGGTGGACGGGAGAAATGCGCGCACCGGTAGATTCCGCGAGGTTGTTCCGTTGTTTCCTTTGTCGTTGAACGCGAGTGACGAGCTGCGGCGAATTGTCGCTGTCACACACTCACGCACGCCGCACGTGTGACATCGCGCCGCGTTGACTTCCGTCGCAGCGCGCCGTGAAGTCGTGTGAGTGTGTCGCGCGTGCACAGCTGATTATACGCGATTGTTCTCCTCGCGCTAAATCGCACGGCCGCCTCTCGTCCGCTCGCGCTCGCGACACCCCGGGTCGCGCGGGTCGTTCGACGAGCGTCCGACTGACTTTTCCGGAAAATTCCAACTCGCGGTATTGCGGACGCGCCATAAGTCTACCTCTGCGTCTTCCGCATTCTCACCCTTGCACTGTGCGTTGTCATCCTTCGGAATGAAACGTGGAGATTATCGATGTTCCGCAGTGCATTGTTGCCGTGATTCACAGCGTCGAGAACGTCGCGGACGGTCTCGAATCGATGACGGTTCACCACGTTCCCCAGCGAAGGAACGTGTTTAGGACATGTTCGCCTAACGAGCGAGCACGACACCTCCACGTGGCCCGCACGAGATCCTAACGCGCCCTTCACGCGCCATGCACGAAAAGCCGTGCGCGGGGCACTACCGGGTCGGACTACGCTCCTGAGAAATGTACATACTGGGAAAGATGGCTCCTTTTTCTTTTTTTTATAAAATCTAGCGGTTTTTTTTTGTAATTCGTTACGTTCGTCAGATCGATTGTCTTGGACTTGCTGGCGCGATCACATCCGATTTAACTGCTCTGCTCTTTTTCGGAGGATTTACGAACCGGTATGAATCGGCAAAAAGTCGAAGAGTGAAGACATATATTTTCTCTCGTTCCGACTGATATCGCACTAGTGTGCGCTAGTTCGAAAGTTCTTCGGAAAAGAGGAAAGTTTTTATCGACGACACGTGATCACGCCTATGTCAGAGCACTTTAATGCGCACGTGCAGCGCGTGCCGGAGAAGCTCTCTCAAGTGTGCGCTGCCACCCTGCGACGAACCGGCGCAAATGTCGTGGAAAGATTAAATTAATCCCGCGAGAGAGAGAGAGAGAGAGAGAAAGAGAGAGAGAGAGAGAGAGAGAGAGAAAAATGAGCCTGCCGAACGTGAGTGATTACTGCCTGCTGGAAAAGATCGGCACCGGGAGCTATGCCACCGTGTACAAAGGGTTCAAGAAGGTAGGTATACGTGCGTTGCACACATTTGAGGTTCGAATCGGAAATGGCGTGGTATCGAGCGGCAGGATCGTAGCTAGTATCGCGCGGAGAGCATGCGTATGTTTATTTACGTTGCCAATGCGCTGTGCTATACACACTCTGCGTGTCTCTCTTCATGGCTTCTCCCGCCTATTCCTTATTTTTTACCCGCAATCCGCACAGAGGAGAGGAATAGGAAGAGACACGCTGCCAAGTGAAGTCTCTCCGTGGCACTTTATACCGTGGCTCCATTTAGATAAACGCACACAATCCTCGTCTAGCTGTCGGTTGTTGGCATCTCCTCGACCTTTTAAACACACACACACACACACACCACTTTCCATTCCATAGATGAGATACCCGCCAACGAGATACAAGTGCATTTTTTAAGCATGACCAAATGCTCTTCCAAATAGTTATCGACTTCCCGATGGTTCGGTTCACAGGGTGCGAGTCGAGAAGTAGTCGCTATCAAGTGCGTGGATAAAGCCTCGCTCTCGAAATCAGCGGTCGACAATCTTGTGACGGAGATCAAGCTGTTAAATGTCCTCAAGCACGAGCATATCGTGGAGATGAGAGACTTTTTCTGGGACGAAGGGTTCGTTACGTGAGATCTTACGATACTATTCGCGATATAATTTCGTGCTGTAAAGTGCGACGACCTATTTCGAATTAACATAATCGCGCCCGCGCGCGTATACGCACAACACACACACACACACACGCGCACAAATGCGCGGTCCGATAAGGAATTGTATTATTGTATTATGTAACACACGCGCGCGCGCGCGCGCTTCTTTCACCTTTCTGGAAAAAGAAAAATCTATATGTACGTACAACTGTAGGCACATTTACATCGCCATGGAATACTGCGACGGCGGAGACTTGTCGAGTTTCATAAAGAAACAGCACCGTCTGCCCGAAAACGTTTGTCGCAGATTTCTGCAACAGCTCGCACTGGCGTTGCGATACCTGCGCGATCATAACGTTTGCCATATGGACCTTAAGCCGCAGAACTTATTGCTGATGAGGAAGCCGCGGCTAGTGCTCAAAGTTGGAGGTTGGTAATCAATCGAGTCTCTGCTTCCTACCCCCTTTTGCGGGAGAAACGCGACAACTTTGCGGCCGACAGCGGCGTATGATCTGTGTCAGTAACAAGCGCCTTTTCAGATTTTGGTTTCGCGCAGTACCTCACGAATTCGGAGCACAAGTTCGCGATACGCGGCTCGCCGCTTTACATGGCGCCCGAGATGCTGTTGAAGCACAAATACGACGCTCGCGTTGATCTCTGGAGCGTGGGGGTGATTATGTATGAGTGCCTTTTCGGAAAAGCTCCCTATTCTAGCAGTAGTTTCCAGGAATTAGCGGAGAAGATCAAAGACTGCCGGCCGATTGAGGTCCGTCGCTCTGTGACTTATTTTCTTCGTCTTAGGAAAGATTCCGTGCGCTTCAAAGTCTGCTTCAATCTTATACGCAAGGAAAACCGTCCTTTATGCTTGCTCTTCCTTCAGTTTCTCCTCAGTCCATCTCTTCTTCTTCTCGTCGCTCTCATTTTTTTTTCACGACCCAGCGCATTGCGTAGCGCCGCACTCTCTGGGTTAGGTGTGAGAGCTACAAAATTTTATTGTTTCTCACGGGATTATTGTTTTAAAAATTACGTGGAAGCTGCTACGTTAACTCAACCGGATAATCTTTGTGTAAAGAGCGTTGATTTAAGTTACGATTTTGAACGTGGTTCTTTAATCATGAGTCACCGATACGTTGTTCACCGTAGATACCGAAGGCGGCACATGTGTCGGCTACGTGTAAGGATTTGCTGATGGCTTTGCTCAAGCATAACCCCGCCGATCGGATAACGTACGACGAATTTTTCGCTCACGACTTTTTGGACCTGGAGCACGCGCCCACGAGAGAAAATTACGATAAGGCAGTGACGTTGGTGCACAAAGCCGTCGAGGCGGATGCCGTGAAGAATTCGAAGGAGGCATTTTATCTCTACTGCGAAGCTCTAAGATACTTCATTCCGATTTTGACGAGTAAGAGATGCCACTCGCGGCTCTCCTTCCGCGATACTCACAGCACAATTAATTCCCCGGTTGAAATAACTCGCGCGTGTAAATCACACGACGAATGCATCGTTACAATGCTGGATTGTTCGATTAGATGAAAGCGATCCGAAGCGAAAGGAAGTACTACGACAACGTGTGAACGATTATATAAGACGAGCGGAAACTCTCAAAACTGCGTTCGTGGACGGAAAGGACAAGCGACCGTTGGCCGAGGGCAAAGGAGGCACTTCCCTGCAAAGGATACCGTCCTTAGAGAGAAGCACAGCGTATAACGAATTACGTGTGTATCTTATATCTCGTAATTTTCAGGATTGGAAAAGTTATTTTGTAAAAATGTCTAGTACAATTACAGTTTTTTCACTGAAAAAGTAACTAGGTACAGTTACAAATTACTCACCTTCAAAAATAACATGTTACAGTTGTAGTTATTTAGAAAGTAACGAGTCGTCGTTACTTTTCGGTTACTTTTTTACAATAATAGTGCTATTATTTTAAATTTTGTAATTGTGTAAGTTCCTTCAATTTGATACAAAAGTGGTCCGTTGATTATTATATTTCTCATATTGTATATAATTTTTACAAATTTTACAAATTAGATTAATTTAAATAAGCAATTCATATTTATTTCTTAAGACTTTCTTAATAACAACTGGGCAGAAAAATGCCAAAGTTGTTCTCATTTCCAAGTTTTTGCTGTAACTCGAATATTTCTGCATATACTGGCCATGGCATTTTATCTTTCTCCGAAAATTGAGATGTTTCATCTATTATTTGAATTTTTTATATAACTAAAACCACGCAGCGCACTTCAGACTGAACGCTGATAAATAAGAACCGGCGATGTGTGATGGAAATCTCCAATAGGTGTACCATTTTTTTGAAAGAAATACAAATTGCGCTCGGAGAGGGGACTATCAGAATTATTGCGTCATTTTATCTTTGTTTTGTATTCTAACGATAAAGATAGACGCAATAGCGCGTTTTCCAAACGCAGCCAGAATAACTGTATGCTTGTTGCGTATAACGTATGTCGCATGTCGCGTTATCGTGCTAGAAGCTCAAGTTTGAAATGTATAAAACAACTATTAAAGTAACTATTAAATTAGTTACTACTACTTGTCAAACAAATGTAACTACTTAAAGTCGAGTTACAGTTATAGATAGAAAAAACGGGGAACGAAGTTAAGTTGTAGCTACCAAAAAAAAAACATAACTTTAACTACAACTACGTTACAAGTAACGATGATTCACTTTCCAACCTTGGTTACTTTTTCACAAAAATATCGATCGTCGTTTTCAATTACGCGCGCCAATCGTCGCGAAGTGACATGAACGATACCGTCGCGCGACGAGACTCCGAATCCGTCACTCATAAATGATTAACAGTGGCCGTGAAATAACTTGTTTGTCGGTAGGACTCCTCGGTAAGAGCACCATGGGTATGACAGGTGCGCTCGAAATAGGAGAAGCTGCCGAGCAGTATCTCGCCGAGGGTAACTACGCTCTCGCTTTGGAGAAATTTCAGTCATGTCTGAGCGTGCTGGTACCTCTGCTGGGCAAGGAACCGTTAGGCCGGAGACGAGATTTACTGCACAAACAGGTGATTACAATCGATCGATAATGCCGGCCGTTTCGTCGTCAGATGCGGCGGTCAGAACGAGCGATTAACAATTACTTCCCGATCCTGCCAGCGACCGGACGGACCCGGTCCGGCGGCACGAGTGCGAAGGGTCGGTTTCGTCGCGATGAGACGGAGGGAGGGCTCGAGAGCATTTAACTCGCTCGCGAAGGGCGCTTGTCGTCTCGCGTGTCAGTGTCAAACGGCGAAGCAGGCGCGCAGGAACTCTCGCGAGGAAATCGTGCCAAAAGGTGCGAGTCCGCCGATCGACTCGGCGTGCGTGAAAACATGGCGGTCTTGCCGTGAAGGATGAGAGGCGTGTGCGAGAGACAATTTCGTGTGGAAATTTCGCAACTACGACCGTTTATTCGTGGAAAAACACTCGCGCTCGATACATATCGAGGTCTTATCTTAAAACTTCCGGTGGGATAAAAATACCGAATATCTCATACTGACCTTAGTAACGTTCATTTCACTTATCAAATAAACACTCGCGTTTTTGTACTTTTAATATACGTTCTACTGCGGAGCTTAATTTTACCGTCGTGCTAATTTTTTATCTGGTCGCTGGTGAGAAAGCTGTGCCGGAAAGCTGACCGTGGATTTTTACTCTTTAACGATGCATCGGAGCATGCACATGCTACACGACGCGACTGGTTGTCAGCTGTTAGGGCAAAGCGACGCATCTGCAGGAGGGTTAAAGTACTATTGCACATGAACACAAAGGACATCTGCAGGACATCTTTTAAAATATGCATTATTTTGTCGAGAGATGCACCGAAAGTCGATAGGCCGGTTCTTTTTAACTACGGCACTACTGCACTGAGATTTACTGAGATTATGTGCACATATACGTGGAGTGTCGTTAATTTTCCCTCCAATTTCAGTTTACGTATCCTCGGGTTAAAGATGGGTTAGGGTGTCTAGATATCCGTACAGCTATACGGGTGATCGATATAGAAAAAGTAATTTTGGGTTCTCCGAATATTCTCTCAAAATATCTAGTTAGGATAAACGAATGTTTAAATATACATTTGGATATCAAAACCTGAACTAATTGGAATTGGCATTAATGGGGTCGTGTGTAGATATTCACAGTCATTTACGAGAAACTTATATATTCCTCATCAACAGGTACAAATATGGATGCAGGAAGCTGAAAGCACTAAAGGACTTTTAGCCACCAAGGATATAGAGGACTCGTCGCAACGTGCATCCGACGAACAATGCGTGTTACAATAAGCTCTGTAAGCATAATAATAAAGTATTTTCATCGTCACAATTCTCTGTTATTCTTCAGTACTGCCACCATGTGTAGGCAGCAATTTGCCACGTAGCACATTTATTATGCCTCAAATTAATTACTGCAGAGCCAATTATTGCACTATATGGAGTGTAATAATAAAGAACTTTATATTCATTATACTGCAACAATTTCGCGATTATTTAATTAGCATGCATCAACTGAAAGAAGCAACTCAGCGTTTTAGACAAAGAACTTTAGAAAGGTCAATTTAATTCTAAATAAGCTCCAAACTCGAATGAAGAGGGCGCGCGTGTCGCCTCACGATACACCCTTACGATTTCCGGCATAACCACGTGACCAAATAACGGTCGCGGCTATCGCGAAGCTTCATGGAAAATTCCCATTTCTGAGCGACGCTCTCCTCCCTCCTTTCGTATATACATATATACGTATACATATGTATATAGCCCCCCTGTCGTTCGCCGTTTCATATAATCCCCACTCTTGATTCTATGTATTACCTCCCACTCTTCCACCCCCCACCACGTTGCTACACGATACCGGATGTGCGGCAACGTCGCAACCGTTAAGTACATAAGGACCAATGGATGAGGGGGCCTGAAGGGGGAGAGTTATGCGGGGTGACGAGTACAAGAAAGAACTGGCAACGTGTGCCACATTCAAATCTGGTCTGTACCCTGCTCGGCCTCTCTCAGTCCGTCTCGATATAGTAAAACAGTAGAAAAGCGCAGAACGAGAGGATCGCAGCATGCATTTGCCGACGAGTGAAGTGTAGCCTGCGTGTGTCGCAACGTAATGCTACATCGATGCAGAGACCATTGCGCGCTTCATCAACAGCAACGACGCGGTGTGTGCTAGTAACAGTGGGTTATTGCGTTGAAACGTGTTTTCGTTAGTATATACGTGTCTCTCCCTCTCCTTCTTTCGCGCGCGCGCGCGTTCTTTCTCTCTTTCTTTCTCTTTCTTTCTTTCTCTCTCTCTCTCTCTCTCTCTCTCTCTCTCTCTCTCTCTCTCTCTCTCTCTCTCTCTCTCTCTACTTCCTCTCCGACTCCATTTCCGGTACAAGAGCTTCGAGCAGTATTAGCGATAGAGCAACGTACGAGAGAATACATCTCTATCGACGGTGTGCCTCGCGCGCGCGTTAACATCGAGACGATAAACGGCAGCGGCGGTGGCGGCGACAACGGCGGCGGTAGCGACGACGACGACGACGACTCACTTCCTACCGGCCCTTTCGTCACACGCGTACAAATTTTCGCGCGCACACGCGTCCGTGCTCGGCTCGTCGCATGCACGCAGCAATTTGATGTAAATGTCACGGGCGCGCGGTGGAGGCGGCGGTGGTGGCATCGTGACTGTGTCGCGAAGGAAGTACCACGCGTGGAAGTATGTGCATGGACATTCAGGCTAACGAGAAGAAGCAGCAGAAGATGGGCGACAAGAACTCCGACGAGGACGTCCAGATCGTAGAGGCCCTCATTTTCAGAGGTAAGTTTTGAGGTTATGGGTGGCGGCAGAATGGCGCGTATCTGCGTCTCTCACTCTTCTTCGTTCCCTTCCGCCTTCTTTTCCCTCCACCCTTACTTTTCTTCTCTCTCTCTCTCTCTCTCTCTCCCCCCTCTTTCTCTCCCCTCTCCCTCTCCCTATCTCTCTCTCTCTCTCTCTCTCTCTCTCTCTCTCTCTCTCGCTCTCTCCTGTTCGTTTTACTCTTTCGCTCTCTCGCCTTCGATGCACAATCTCTCTGTCCTCGTTTTACGCGGGATATCCTACACAACGCGTTCGTGAATCCCCTTCCATACGCTAGTCGTACCACCCTCCCTTGCTCTGCTAGCACCCAGGAGGTGTCTGTGCGCCTTTACGAAACGCACCTCGTGCGGACCCGGCTAACGTGGCTTGTCATGCCGGCGACTATCTGTCAAACGATATCGTTTCTCGTGACAATTCTGCTGAAACGCGATTGAGCCGAAGGAAAGAACAACATTTTGTCAAATGTGCGATATGCGATGCTGAACGATCAGTTAATTTTGATGTAAAGGATGCTCCGAGCAGCATGAGTAAATGTTGTACGATAAGATGTACATTTTGAAGATACAGGATTCAGTTATCTTTTTTCCTTTGTATAAAAAGCTCAGTCTTTTTATGGAACAATTCTAGCGATGAAGATGACGTTTTCACGAAGAACGTCGATAAAAGATTTTTTGCTAACAAACAGTATAATGAGATTACTGAAATTTGACCTAAGTAGATTTCCTATAGCGAATAATATCTGAGATTTCAAAATATCCTACCGATGGATATTTAAGGATTATTCAAAGATTAATAAGGTCTCTCTCGAACGCAAAGTTCCTAATGAAAGCGAATATATCTGTATCGTTGATAAACGCGTACATCTATGCAGAAGGCATCTGATTTTTATTTTATTTTACAGGCGTTTTTACTTGGAAATGACGTCATAGTTTATTTAAATCTAGGTAAGACGATGTTTGACGACATAGAGAAGCTTTGCTCTCTGTCATTACGAATCGTACTCTGTAGAAAAAGAAGCGGGATTAAACGGAGCACCAGTCTCTGTTTGCTTTCTTAAAAGCAATAAGAAATGGTCCTTATATCAAGAGCTATGGTTTGCAATGAATTTTAGTATGCAAGGCGCATGTGCATAAATATATACGTTTTTGTGTATAGATTTACACAACTAACACGGCACACGCGCCGGTTATCGGTGTAATAAAATTGTGTTTTTATTCTTTTGCACGATTTGTCGAGCAATTGTAGTTAAGTAAATTTTAGATGAAGAAAATGCAAGATGATTGTACATTTTTGCCGGTTCTAGTGTCAATCGCGCGAAACGTCGATATCGAAAATATCACAGATTGCACAGACAGCGCGCGATTTTATTTTTCAAAGTAATACAAAAAGAAACACACGCTGCGTGGTCCCTGGAATAGAATTCCCTCTTCATGTTTGTCGTACAAAGTAAACGTAGCGTGTATCGCTCTCTTAAATTCTCTCGATATTGCCCGACACGGTGCGTTTCTCTTCCCGACCCATTATTACAAAAGTATGATATTATACATATATCATTTTGTATTATTTACACCGCCTATACTTACCAGCGGGAACGTTTCATAGAATCGCGTTGCTATGTAATAATAATATAATACGGTGAAGCCGCGCGGGCGCGCGCGCGCGCGCGCGCATGCATCGTGTAACACGGAGCCGAGCTTGCTCGCTGCCAGTGCGCGCGCCTGTGTATATATTCGTCAGCCGGCTCGGTCGCGCATGTGTATGCCGCGCGCTTATGTGTAAGTTATATACAAGGAGCGAGAGAGCCGGGAGGGACATGTGCGGCCCCGCGGTATATAATATATCCGCTTTTATATACTACATAAGGAGCGAAGAGTGATGTAACAAAGAGGCAACTCCGCCGAAGATAGCCGAACGTGGCCGAGCGCGGCGATACGCTCCGCGCAAGTCTCACGCGTGCTTTCGGTATACCTCGTAGGAGAGCGCGCGGCATGTACCCCGCGCCGAAGCTCGTCAGCTGCTACGAGTGAGCGGCGCCATATGCAATTTTGCGCGAGTTGCGCAAAAAAAAAATGACGCGTGCGTAAAGGATGGAGGCGCGCGCTGTATATCGCGCCAGACCTTTTTCACCCGCTCGGCACCCGACCTTTGCTCTCTTTACGCTCTATATTACCTTCCGCCATCCGAGGGAGAACGGGAACGTGGAGCGCGCGCGAGCGGTGACCTTCATCTTGCCGGCTTTATTTATCGGTCGCGCGAGAAGGAAATGCGCCTTATTAGCGCTCGCTCGCCAGATTTATTTGCCTTTACGCGAGATTGCGCGCTCGCGTTTAGAGTCCGTGCGCGTTGCGCAACGATCGCCATCGTCACGGTCATACTTTCGCAGTGTATAGAAAATAGGACGCGCTATTATAGATAGAGCGATCGCGGAGAATGCGCGCGCGCGCGCGCACAAGAGAGGGGGAGAGAGAGAGAGGAGAAAAGAGGATAGAGAAAGCTGAGTTATAGCAGTACATGGGTAGATAGGAGGAGGTACATCCGTTCCACCGCCATATTGTTCTTTCAGTAATCCTTACCCCTCTTCTCCCTCTCACTCCATCTACGCCCGCCGATCTCCCCCTCCATTTCGTCGTCCTCCCCACCTTCAGCTGCACCCCCACCTCACCCCTGAACCAAATAACCTTTGCTCGGCATAGCAACAGCAGCGATAGAGAGGGCTACTATAAATAGATCGCTACGACCTTCCAGTGTTGCCAAAACGACAGGCCCAATGTGCGACGCAGTAAAACTAGACGCTATCAAGGCCATGTCAGCCATTTTGCGACGGCAACGTCGCAATAGCTGGTATATGACCTGAGCCACTATTTTTTCAATGTACTACTGTACGACACTCATTGTTTCGCATATAGAATTTTTTAAAATTCGTACACGTGATGTGCGTACGATGTATGTTGAGTAAACATGGCGGCATTTGTAACGAATAAAATACGCGCGTTTGCGTGGGCGGGATTTTGGAAATTGTTCGTGGGGAAATCTCTGCTGGGACGACACGCGAGACATCTAGGAAATGCTTAATCCGGTCGCAGTTCCCGGGCCATCGAAGAAATATATTCGCGACAGTAATTTTTTTTTATTGCAAGTTTCTCAAGTATCGATCAAGCGACGTTGCTTTTCCACCAACGCGCGTTTCTATGTATTCGTCTATATGCTTGAAAAGTGAGACAAGAGAGGGAGTGGGCGTGCCCGGGGCGCGAGAGCCGGCAACGCCGCGCTCGTAAATCATGATTAAAATAATAAGTATAATACATATGTAGTACATAGGCGGCCGACGGGTTTATGTACGTAAGAGCTGCGCAATGGCGCGAGCGGAGCTGGCGTCTAGCTGGGTTCTGCGCAACTTCGGTGCCCCCACCTCCTCCCGACGGTCTCCCACCACCGTGTGAAATCCCTCGGGTGAGTTCCAGGAGCGACGAAGAACGACGGTGAACGACGAATCAAGCGCGGACGTTAGAGGAGGAGGAGAAGGAGATGTAGGAGCGGGAGGGGAGCGGGAGGGGTAGGGCACCTGAAACCGCGACTATATACCCCCGCGCGCACGTTTACCAATCTTGGCACTTTGCCTGAAAGAGCATATCGACCGTGCGACGTTGTCACATCGTCTGCGCGATCTTACACGCCGGTCCTGGCTACTCTTTGAGCGGTATGTACCTAGCTCCTGCCACCGACCGGTCCATGTCACACGATGCGCGATCTGTGATAGCCGACCGATGTGCGAGCTAGCTGCCCAAAGAGAGAAAAAGAGAAAGAGTGCTCCGAGAGAAAATGCGAAACGTTCGCTCATCGGAATTCTTTTTAGAATCAATGCATACAAATCAATCGCATACAACACGACACGTTTTCGTCGGTTACCAAAAAAGAAGAAAAACTAATTTTATTTGCTATTTTCAACAAAATAGTACCGATGACCAGTGCTCTCTCACTTTGGAAGATTCCAATCTCATGGCTGAGCAGCGACACATTTCTCGTTAAACTACAGCTATTTGTGAGGATCCTATTTGACGTACACGCAAGATAAGATTGTCAAATTTTCTCTTCTGCCAGTTTGTGCCAAGAATGTACTACGTATAATAAGAGGCTGTGCTACTCTCTCACACACGCACACACACACACACACGCACACACACACACACACACACATTTTATTGAGTATCAGACATTGATTGTGTCACGTAACGTGGATGTTGAAGATATCAATCAATATGTTTGACATTTTATTCAAACCAAGTGACAAGATTTATCGGCAGAGATTCGCCGGCGGCACGAGCAATTATTTGCATCACCGTAATCTCTCTTATCAGGATTTACATACCAATTATTCAAAATTAATTACACCTACACAAGATTGACAATTCTGTACTGCTGCGCGTGTTTCAGAGAACATGTCTTCCACGAAGTTTCTCGTTATAAGACGAGCGATACACCATAAGAGCTTACGAGTCACAGCCGCGATGTTTGGGATACAATGAATACCCACAAAAGCACTTTCTTGGAATTGTCTCGACGGCTCGACGCTGTTAGGCGTTACAGGCAAAACAGGGTACAGGTGAAAAGGACTCGAGCGATTATCCTGTACTCATTTACATATACAGGGTGTCTCGCAGAACCGCCGTAACAACTATGAACTCGTGTATTCGTCATATCGACCGGTACCTGCCAAGTATCACACCCAAATGGCCCCTACAATCATCGAGAATATACGGCCGGAGATCCATGACTGTCAAGACATCTCCGTACGAAACACGAGAGCGGGGACACTTTCGGACACTTTAGACCGCGCGGGGGCACCGCGGCGACACCGTCTGCGTCGGGCATCGCCAATCGTCACTGTCAATCGTGCCGCGTTCTCGATTCCCCAGCTGAAGAAGAGCCACGCCGGACTCGCGGATATTCCGAGAATGCCCAACAGACCAGACCAGCTACGTACGCGGCGCCGCGACGACGAGGACGAGCGTGTACCTAGACGCGGTACAGTCCGCGCAAACAGTCGTACGTGGATCCACCGCGGTGCGGGGAGACCGCGCAGAGGTGCCTAATGCTCCCGCGGCAGCGCTGGCTCGACGCGGACAGCTCGACGCCGCGGCCGACACGGCCTGAAATCGGAGCTTGAGCGGTGGAGGAGAGAGAGAGAGAGAGAGAGAGAGAGAGAGAGAGAGAGAGAGAGAGAGAGAGAGAGAGAGAGAGAGAGAGAGAGAGAGAGAGAGGAGAGAGAGAGAGAAACCGTGAGCGCGCGCGGCACCATATAACGTGAGACGGTGTGTCCTCGTTCGTGAGCGCCGTTCGTGATCCTTGAGAAAGCTCGCCGACGGCCGACGCGGAGCTACGCCCGGACAAGCGCGGCATGTACATACGTAGTCGACGGTGAAGTGATACCGCGTCTACGTGCCCCGTCCTCCCCCTGTTTTACCTACACCCTCGACATATCGAGCGCGGTAGTAGTGGCGACGACGCGGCGGTGGTAGCGGGCAGCGGTGGAGGTGGTGGCGGCAGTGATGAGGATCTTTCGCGCCACCTGGTATAATAGTGTCGGCGCACAAAGTGAAACGTCGTTATCATCGTCGTCGTCGTCGTCGTCGTCGTCGTCGTCGCCGTCGCCGTCGTCGTCGTCGTCGCCGACGACATCATCCTCCTCCTCATCATCATTATCATCGTCGAGGGAAAGCGTGAAAACTGTGAGAGCCGAGAGCCAACGCGTAAAGGGACAACTTTCTCATGCGGACCGTATACACGGTGGTCGGCCATCCATCGTCAATACGTCGTCGTTCTCGTCCTCGTCTTCGTCTCTTCGGCCTCTCCTCTTGTCCACAGTCGTGTAACATGGATCGCGCGCCGTGTCGTCGGCGATGCTCTTAGACGGACGTGCTGTTGCACTGCTGCTGCTGCTGCTGCTGCTGCGCGTATAACCTCAACGAGGGAACACTGTGGCGTGTCAGCCGCCCAGCTGCCCGTCGAGATGTGATTTCGCGCAGTGGACTCAAGAATATCCTCTTCACCGTCGAGGATGAGGAACGGCTTCACGGATATACCAGTCGCGAGTGCGGACAGCAGCACGGACGCCATATGGCTCGAGAAGAGCAGTCCGTCGCGGACAGCACCCGAGCGAGTATCACTCAGTAGGTGTTCATCTTCGTGCGTCTTGCTCCGCTTGAGCCGTTAGGCCTCGGAGCGTAAGTTCGCTCATCCGAGCGTTTTCACTGCTCCGCCTCCATCTCTGTTTCTCTCTCTCTCTCTCTCTCTCTCTCTCTCTCTCTCTCTCTCTCTCTCTCTCTCTCTCTCCCCTCCCCTCCCTCTCTCTCTCTCTCTCTCCCCTCCCCTCCTCTCTCTCTCTCTCCCTCCCTCTCTCTCTCTCTCTCCCCCCCCTCCCTCCCCCATCTCTGTTCTGCTCTCGCTTGCTCACTCTCTGTATCTTTCTCTAAGCATCGAGATGCTGCAGACTCCCGAGAATAGTCTGTGCATTTAAACGGAGATACGAGATGTGGTTTCCCGTGTCGGTCGTCCACAGCATCGGCAATTGGATTTGCGGTGTGCCGTCGACGACTTCGAGAGTCTCGCATGAGATTGCACGGTGCGGTGTGTGAGTCGCGCGGCCGATTCTCGCCGCAATCGTCGGGCAGTAAAATCGCGGATTTTGCAGTGTTTACCTGGTTGATCCTGGTGTTGCGTTAATCGCATCATGCCGCGTCGCGATGCTACGCGACGCGCGGCGGTGGCGGCGGCGGCGGCGGCGGCGGCGGTGGTGACACGCTCGAGAACGCGAGTCGCAAGCAGCGATCAATCGAGGATCTTTAATTGAAGCGCGTCACGTGCGCGGTATTTGGGCTTTACTACCTACTACTCTTGACTTCGCACGAGACGCGCACATGTTTGTTTGCTCTCACGTTTGCGCCAGGCTTGACAAGAGAGGATCCTTTCGATTGTTATTTTGACGCGGCCCGAGCCGCGAGAAATTCAGAGTGATTGTGTCCGATGAAGAATTCATTAATCGCCTCTTGCGGCGAAGTTCGATCGGAAACCTGCTTACGTTCCCAGTGCGTAGAGATGTATGACTCGTGTGCCGCGATTGTTGTTGTGCGGTGAGATAATTATTTGGGATAATTACACGCGCAATGGGCGACAGTGAGTGTGTGGTATATTTTGTTTCGTGCGATTGAATCCAATCTATTCTCAAATACGCGACGTAAGCTAAGTTTATTTAAAAAGTATACGTAATGTACACGTAACGTACGTAAAGTACATGTAACGTATTTAAAAAGTACACGTAAAAAGCAAATGTTTATAGGAACACATATAAGAAAAAATTTCTTACATTTTTGCCTTGAAACTTAATTTGTGCGATTCATGAGCCATGACGAGCGATATCATAGGATTGACGTAATCTGTTAGCGGCTAATTAAAAAGAATATATTTTTAATATGATTAAAGGAGAATATATCTTTTTATTAGAAAGATAAGTATATTATTTGGAAAGTTTCTTACGTGATAAAAAGCAGTTACGGAAAAAAGTAAAGTAGAGGAATAAGATAACTAAAATGAAATGGAGGAAAAAGTGATGTAAGGATATGTAGGAATAAAGTGAAGTATACAATGAAATAAAAGGAGATATTTAGGGAGAAAAAGAAGAATTATTTATAAGAATTAATGAATAAGAAAATTAATGAATAAAAATAATAAGTCGGATTTTAAAAGAAATGTAAGAAGCAAATTAAAATACAAGCGAATACAAAGCAACGCTTGTTATTAACAAACGCTTGTATGATATTTGCGTACTAACATTTTTTACGCAACGCAACTGCGATTTCAATGTTTTATTCAGTATTTTGTACGGAGAAAGATATATCACGTTCGCGCGTTGTAACGTGTATGTACAATGAATTAGCTTAATTGATAAGCGATGTAACTGAAGCACTATATATATATATATATATATATATATATATATAATTTATAAGTTTGTACAATATATTTCGTTTTTCTGCAGATTTCGATAAAGTCGTTGTCAAGCAAGAACGTCAAGAAGATGAAGCGGAGATCTGTGAACTGGCTGCCAAAATGGTGGAAGCAAACAAGGCGAAAATGATGTCTGCTCTGCAAGGAGCGCAACAAACGAGGCCGCAGTGTCTCGTGTCACAGCCTAATCTACCCGGTATCCTAGGATATCTGAATAAACGGCCGAACGAGACTACATCGTCTGTGTCGAAAGCTCCGGCCGATAGTCCAGACAGTAGAGTACCACCGTTGGACGACGAAAGCCACAGAGGACGTTTTGGCTGGACCAGTTTTGACGAGAATCACATACCCTATATATATCGCTCCACCGAAAAGTATTGCGCCGTACGCATCCTAGAAAATAAGCTTCTCAACAAGTACCTGAGCTATCTACACTCGGACATCTACAGCTGCACCTGTATAAGGAGTTACTACATCACGGAGGCGGAGAGCAAGCTGTTCAACGAAATCAACGTTAAGCACTGCGAGAATCAGTTCGGGAGGGAACAGTTTACGTGCAAAGACCTGGTGGTGCGTCTCATAGACGCCAAGGAGTTTTATAAGTTTCTTGATGTGTGCTATACGAAACTGACCGCCGGTACGAATCCAAGTGTGACGAGCGGTCGTAAGGCTGAGAAATGCGGTTTCATACGAATAAATAAAGAGTCTGTGGTTCCTTATACGGTGAAAGACGGCTTACAGTACGTTCCGCTGTTTTATTTCGAGGGTGAGACTGAGAATCTCAAGCTGAAGGCAGAGAAACTCGAGGGTTGGGATCTGTCTTACTTGAAGTTCTGCTGCAAGGTACAGGGTATACGTAATGAACTGTTTGCTAGTGAGACGTGCTCGGTAATTAGTTTGAGTGATATTAAGAGTTACTTCCCGCCGGGTACCGGCTTCGAAGACTATTGGCCGAGCAAAGTTATGGACTCACAGTTGTTAGTGAATAGCAATGGCGGCGGTAGCGGCGGTGGATGGACAAAGCAACCGCCTACACCGCCAGCGACTAAGCCTACTTCTGTGCAAAATAACACGAATAAAGTACCTCTAAACGCGCGCGCCGCTCCAATGCCTAACATAATGCCGCGGGCAGCTACCGTGAGTGCTGCGCCGCAAATGCCGCGAATAGGACAACCGAGGCCGGTGGCTACAACGCACCCTGCGCATTCTTCCCCATCGGGACTTCCCTCTGGCAGATCGAACATGGTGTCGCAATCTATGCTGAATACCGTTCAGGGAGTCGTTAACGGCTGGACCGGGCTCGTTGGCGGCCAACCTGCCTTTCAGACGTCGCTTGTTTCACAAGCGAACTCTATCATACGAATGCCCAATGCGTCTCTAAATATGCATAACGTAAGCCCGCAGCTCGCAGCGCGTTACTTACATTACATTCGTCTTATTATCTATAGATGTTGTCTCTGGATATCTTATGGATATTTTAAGTATAATTTATGGATTTTAATTCACATTCGTTCCAAGCGTAACAATATGTGATATTTAACGCATTGTTTCTTTCTTTTTTCTCTTTTTAATTCACTTACGAATCCTACTTTTGTGTGATGTTGAATGAGTTTCTTTTTATTTTCAGCAAATGCCTGCTGCCTCTAAAAGTTATTCCCAACAATCTAGAAGCAGGGGAAGTAATAATGGGGCAGCAGCTCCCCCGTATCCTGGCGTCTACCCGGTTACGACTATGCAAAATGTAGCCCAAGCTCAACAACCACCACCTCTTGTAAGAGCAACGGCTCACACGAGTCAACCCAATCTCGGGTAAGTGTCAATCAAAGTTTGTCAAGATAATATAGCTTACTATATATATACATATATCGACATCAAGTTCTCACGAAGTTTTAAATATAATTTCAAGGAGATCTTTTGTTCTTCTTATTAACATCTTTCTTTGGCAACAATGTAGTATTCTTATTTAAATATTGAATGCTTGCTTTCGATATAGCAAACCAATGATGACTGTATATCTGATCAAATTGTTGCACTTGTTTATATCATATCTTTACACACATCATTATATTGTGTTTACATTTCAAAGTTATAAGTCTTTTTCTCATGAGCACAGAGTAGTTTTTCGCAGAGAGATATTATAATCGACAAATTCTTTTTTGTCTAAAGATATCAGTTATGCACATATATATATAATACATAGTGCAAAAAGAATAAAAATTTGTTAAGAAAAAGGGCAATTTATAAATGTATCATCATTTTTTATCGTTTCCACACGAATATTTATGTGAAAGTAAATCTGCAAAGAAAAGAATCTCCGCACTTTATATTGAGCACATCAAGCATGACGTATATCGAGCATCAAGCTTATTTCAGCTTGCGAAAAATTATGTTTATACAAATCTAAAAATTATTTATTACACATAAAATTTATTATATGTAGAGTATTTGCACTATAGCTTTTTGCATTTGTACATACAACGTATGATTTTTTTTGTATAGTTATCCCACCTATGGGAAGGATGACTGGTGAGTCCCTGTAAAATATACAATAGTCGCGTAGACTATTATAAAAAAAAGTAAGATTAGCATGCACAACTTTAATATATCTTATCAATCTGACTGACTCATACAAATAAAAATCTAATATTAGTCTAGTATTAATACTTATTTTTAGTATCTTCTCTACACTCCCTCTCCCCCCCCTTTTGAAGTTTCTTCCCGAATGTAGACAATATTTATATAAATGGCTTAAAAACTTGTAAACATATATGAATATAATAGTATGTGATTTAAGATTACTATTGTACTGCGGTACACTTATCTCTTATCATATAATGAGTTCGTATACTTGAGATTTCATGACATTTTTATCGTCGATCTTGCAAACTAATCCTATCAGTATAAATGGAGCAATTTTTGCATTGAGATTTTCATTGGAGATTATTATAAGTTATACATTTTTATTCATGAATCTAATTATTTTAATTTAAATGTGGCTTGTAATATGCATAAGCATAAATGTTGTACAGATATGTTGTTTAATCACGTCTCTATATAAATTGCATATTGTTTTTGATGTTGCAGTATATTGTAAATTTATCGATTGAAATAAGTAAATTTATTAATTGAAGTAAGTAAAATTCAAGTAACAGACATTTATATTTAATATTAAGAACATTAGAAACTGTAGCAGATACGATGGGATGAATAAATTATTTTAATGGAGATGTTGCAAAATATAACGGTTTTTATCAATTTCAGGGTTACCACTACATACAATGCAACATCTACATTAGGTGTACCTAATGCAGTCACAGCAAGTACATATCCGCAGATGCTTGGTTTAAGTGAACAAGTTCAAGCTTTGATGCCAGTGCCTACATCAGCATCAAACTTGTTACATCAACAACAAAGGCATACACCTGTGCATAGCACATCTCTTAACAAGTTTCCACCTCCACTGATACCAGTTAATGGTAACAATGGTAGCTCCAGGTGTATATCAGACTTTGCTACAATTTTAAAGAATGAAATAAACAAGAACTTCGATTATAAAATTTACAATTACCCCCTTTTTTTTTCTTTTTGTTAAAAACTAATTAAAGCCATTTTCACGTTGAAGTTATTTTTCAGGGATTCGAGAGGTAGAAAACCGTTAATACAAATATCGGAGTCGCATATATCCGCCTGTCACGTACAACCATACCAGATACAGAAAGCTCTTGTCGAAGAAAAATTGGTACCCTGCATTAACTTCAAACCTTACATCTATACCGAGTTGTTGATGACTCTTCCCGATTTTATCTCTCAATACTTTCCTGCCTGCGACATCAACAGTTGTAGACAAGTTCTTACAGACGTTCTACATATAGATTTATATCAAGGAAATAGGTAAATAGAGCACATACAGCACTGGCAAGGAAGAGGTATCGACTCTAACGAGAGAAAAAAATTATTTATATTTTATAGACTACAAATGAAGATGTTGATGGAAGCAGGCAAGTGTTCTTCGCTAACCGAAGAACTACCTTTAATACAAATTAGGAGTGTCATGAAATATATGCCACAGTTCAAGTATATGTTCAACAGAGGAGATATGGTAATGCCTGTGCCGGCACACTCTTCTGAGGAGCATGCTGCCAAAAAGCGTCAACGTACCAGCTAGGATTGGCTACAGCCTTACTGGCCTACTTACGATTACTATCATTCGGCGTTCTAAAGAAGCCGATGATGTTTCCATTCGCGCACGATAATATCGATTCGCGCATCTAACGATGTTCTAGAGATAGGCAAGGTATTTGAGCGGGAAAAATTGCATCTCGTGTTTGACGTGCAACAAAAAGCACACACGCAACCACCGAAGGATTAAGTTTTTGTGTACAGTGACATAGTGTGAGCTATTTCTTTCTCCAAAGTGCACAACTGCTGCAGTGGATAACTGTAAATAAAATTGAGGTGTATAAATTTAGAATATTACGGTTGACAATTCAGATCTGCTTTATGTAGGACGATTTACTTTGTTTCAAAACACTTGGCATGTGACGTAGCGATTGCTACGTTACGCACAGAGGATAAGTAGATTCAAGACAGAAACATTCTTATTTTCAAACCAGATATATCCATTCCACACATGTGAACACATACACGCACACAAAAGGATACGTGCGTATGTGTGTACGTGCGTACATGCATACATACATAATATACGTTACTTTATTTCTACCTCTTTGCAACGACGAATACTATTCTTTCAGATTCTATATTCCACGGTATCTCGTTAAATGTTAGTATCTTGTGTATATGAAATAAAAGTTTTGTTTGAATGAAATTTCGGAGAAAGAAAACGCTATATTCAATTTATAAATTGACATGACGTGCTATAGAGTTATTCTGGATGAATAACCTATTTTGCATATTGAATGTATCAATACAATGTATCAATACAAAAGCGAAACGTGGAAGTAAAGTAAAAAAAAAAATGAAGGTAATGCTTCTTCAAGTTCCTAGCTATTACTAGTACGTATTCTGATAACTAGCCGCATGTTAATTTAAAAAAGAAAAGAAGTGTTTAAACCAATAATTCACTGATAATTGATGATTTATGCAATAAGTTTATGTGAATTTTTATACATTTTTCATAAAATTTATTTAATAAAATCGTTGTGTCACGTAATATCGAACAGTTTCCGTTTCAATTCAATTGTTTAACAAATGCACTGTGTATAAAAGTGTGATGGACGTATCGAACGGAATGATAGCTTGAAGCAAATGCCTATCCATTGTGAAGAGATTGCAGTAAGCAATATCCTATGGACTACATTTACATTACATACACCGCCAACTACATTTGATATTTGATTAATTCATGTGAAATCTGATATTTTCGCACGGCAAAAGGAAGCAGAATTGACATCAATTCATGCGTTTGTATTGTAACATGTGCATTTATAAGTGATACTTTGCGATGTTGCTGCTGCATCTTCCTGATACTCATACCGCAAATTTTTGTTTCAGAACGACTTATTAAGACAAACTATTTGAAATTTTTGTTAACGCGGTGTTTCTTGTTTATATTCAGTAAGTTCCATATGCTCGTTGAGAATCAGTATCTTATGATGGGGTTGACGTGAACATCTCGACAAATGACTTGAGAGAGGTTGTGCAAGTTTGATGAAGATAAAAAATAAAGACAAAAGAAAAAAACAGTACACGTTGTAAAATTAAAAATACTTACGTTAAATGTGAATGTTACAGGCGCATTGCCAATAAAGCGATAGCGATACTTGGTAGAGATTTTGATTAAACGCATGTAGTTTGTGTCCCGGGAACTATAAATGGTTCTTCCCAAAGCACCGAGTTTAGATGTGTATTGTAACTATTTTACGTCTACCCCTTTCATAGATACGTTAAATTTTCATATATTTGGAAATGTCCAAGGTACAACGTATATGTAGAAGACTATTAAATTATAATTATGTGTGTGTGATATAACAAGAAAGTGCGACAATGTTTAAGCAATGAAAAAAAATCTTAATTGATCTTCGAAGCCACATAGAACTGGTCTTCCACATATTGATCTGCAAATACGTCAGGAATTGAGTTCCGTTTATTTTGTAATAAATTATTTCGAAACGTCGAAACACTATTGCAGTATGTCGTCGATAAACACGTCATTTATTTCTATTTATATTAATAGATCGCAAAGATGTGATAGCTCTTATCGTTTTGAACGACGTATAAGATGCTATTTTAACTCTTCTCGATGTGGGAAGCGTGGAGAGGGACAGAGAAGTAAATAATTATTATCGACCGGCTACTTTCGTCACTCTCTAACTTTAGCGTAAGAAAACTCTGAGAAAAAAAGTATACATGGTAAGCAAGTGTATATAAGGAAATAATTATAACGAGGCTGATTCACATTGAGCACCGTGAATCTTCCGTGCAAGGCATAAATTGTTTGGATATCCTATCGTAGAGAATACGGTGTATTTCTGAGTAATATCGATGAGTAATATTTTGTCGTATTGCAATTCGAAGATCTTGCATTACTATTCGGAGATTCTACAATGGACTGGTAATCTCTTTTCTTTTACTTTCACGAATGATTCAGGGAATCGTAGAGAAAATTCAATAAAGATAGGAAAAGAGGGATATAATGTGAAATAATTTATAGTTATTCGCATCCGGTCCAAAAACGTTAGAGAATATAATTATTTTTAATATATTAGATTAGTATGTTTATTTGTTAACATCTGTTATAAAATAATATGTATTATACTTTATCACGCTATCGTTTGTACATATTTAAAGTATAAGAAATAGGAATATTGCATATTCCAAATAAATTCATGATACAATCAATGATAATTAGTTGCTTATCTTTCACCGTCAAATATACATGTCATTTGTATATAATAACATTTTAAATATAGCGTGGTTTTTATGACATATATATTTTTTGTAGCAGTATATTAACTTTGGAAAAAAAAATAATGATAACGAGTTGGCTCAAGTGTTCTAGTTTCCACAAATATATTTTCGGATACAAAATCTAAGTAACTTTTATTTTGTTACACGAAAATGTAGATACGTTAATTTTTTTATAAAAATTATTAAGTTATATCGCGTGAGAAGGAAGTTACAAATAAATACAAGCTTACACGATCGGAAAGCATTAATTTTCCATATTTTAATTTACATATTTGCAAATGTAGCGCTATTTTTATTCACCAAGTTACATAACGTTAAATTAAAAGCATTTTTCGAGATCATTCTTGATCATTCACAGCAATCGTGAATAGATATGATGTTCATTGTGTAATGAACAAAAAGCTTAAGGCTTCCTTCTTAAAATGCACATGTCATATTTTTGATATAAATAATTTTTCAGTACAAAACGAAATTGAGAGAAAAGCGAAGTAAAAAATTGAGCGATCGCTCGTGCATTTTTCATTTAACTAGATATATTTTGGATATACTGAGCGACGATAATGTTATAATATGCTCGAGACTAAAGACTTCAAACTTTACAATGTTTTATCGAATCGTCTCGTCATCATTTTTACGAAAGTTACAGTCCGTTGAATTTTAAAGTCATACTACTTGAGAGTGTCTGACTTGTATTGAGTCAAATCACGAGATCTCAACTGGTCAAGAGATGAGAAATGAGTACACATCACACATGGTAAAGACTGGGGCCGGGAACCGAACCCGAGACCTTTTGCTATCAAAATGAGTGTTCTTCCAACTGAAAACTACTTATGCAACACCATGCTTCGATATATGATCTTCCTCTTATTCAAGACAGAAAAGAATTTACAAGATTGCCCACATATTCGCTACATCAACTAGTAAGAGTTCAGTTCAGTTCAGTTCAGTTCAATATATGGCTCCAGACACGTCCACATTAAGGCACGTCCACACGCCATTCTCCAGCTTTTTGGCAAGACAATTCCTCTGGGTCTTGATACGAGGATATTCGAGAAGTTAACGATTATTAATAACGATTAAAAGAAAAACAGTGGGGACAATGCGTACGCAGTCCCCACGATCAAAAAATATGCATAGTTATAGGAATCACATCCAACTGCCACGGAAGCGAACAAAAGACTGAACTAGAGTGCGTTCCGTTTCACGCATATGCGCGCATTTATCTATAGTTTATGTCACGTATACGATAAAAAATGCGCGCATATGCGTGAAACGGAACGCACCCCTAATAAGGGTATGAATCACGATCTTAACATCTCGACTGTATGGTGGCGGCTCATAGCGGAGACTTTGGAACTAAATGCAGGTTCATCCACCTGATATTCGAATCTTTTTCAACCGACATTTATCGACTGAGTCACACTTTCGGTAGTGAAACCCCTTATAGCTGCTAGATCTACTATTTAGTCGTGGCACAGCACAACGACAAGTCGGCCGTATCGTCCATTTTCAAGTAGTTACAATTTAACAAATGGTCAGAAACATTTTTCATGTAGCAGATTGACGTTAAATAACGTACTAATAACATCTTTAATATCAGTTATTTGACATCAGCACATATTTACTGAACTGTTTCTTACATTGGAATAGTTTGATCATACTGCATGATTAACCATGTAAATTTTAACTTCAGGATTTTTATTGATAAACTTCAATTTTTATTGAATCATAATTAATACACTCTGCTTATCATAGAGTTAATAATGCCATTAATCGATTCCGGATCGATCAAACTACATACTTCAGTCGAAAATATTATTATCTATATCTATCTAATATAATTAAAATCTAATTAAAATTATTTCTATTTCTAATCTATCTTGTAGGATCTAATTAAAATTAAAAATATGCAACAATTAGATAGACGATAATAATATATTGTTACAATAGCGCCCTGATTTTTGTTAATTTGATGATTTTGAAATTTCCAAAAATCAGTAAGTTAACAAAAGTCAGGGCGCTATTGTAACAATATATTCTTAAGACTAAATAAAGCAAGAAAGCTAGAAACCACTTTTTCTTCCGACAAGTAGTTAGCGAGATATCGTAAGTTAAATATTGAAAAAGTTATGGAGTTTTCTTCAAATATCTCAAAAAATATTAGATAAATCAAAAAATATTTTAGACGAAAGTTGTTCAAATTAACTAGTAGAAAAAAGCAGTGTAATAAAAAGTAAGGGTTTCCATTAAAAAAATGCAAGTTGACCTTCAAATGACCTTGAAAATAGAGATCAAGGTCAAAGTCAAGGTCAACATAAGGTAGCTCACTTAAATCCCTATAACTTTTATTCAGATCATTTTCCTTGAAACTTCAATACTGAAGAGTTACGCTATTGGCTGCGTTCTGATATTCACTGTCAGTACAGAAAATACATAATTTGTGTTACGTATACTATAGATTTTCAATATTGGCAGTGGATTATGGAACGCAGCCACTGTCTGTATTATGGTCACAGTATTCACAGTAACGACACTGCAAATTTCACGTTTCCAAGGGTAGATTGCACATGCGCCGCTGTATTACCTAACCAATAGCGTTACAGACATAGCGTTATATCTTTTTCTATTTCACTTTCTTGCAGAAAAAATATACTATATGTTTCACTCTAACTTATTACACTTAGTTTTGCAGTAAAATTAAAAAGTGCAAAACATCTTTCTGTCACAATTGCTAATTTCAATTTCTGCTCTCTCTTTCTCTCTTTTCCTCTTTCTATATATATATATGTATTTATTTAAATTTTTATTAAATCATATAGAGTACGATTTATTAAATGTTGTAAATGCTTTGAACACTATATAATAGCCTTCCTTTTAACGTTCAAAGTATTTGTAGGCCGTATTCCAAAATTCACTGCCAGCGCTGAAAATTTATAGTTTGCGTGACACAAACTATATATTTTCAGTACTGGCAGTGAATTTTGGAACACGGCCCAAGTCTCAAGTAGACCCTGCTTGCTATTGGCTATGTAGCGGGGTTGCGCATGTGCAATTTATTTTTGGAGACGCTAACATCAAAGGTACCGACAGAGCGTGTCGCTACTAGGTATACTGTGCTATGGTAGTGCGGCGAACAGTGACGAAAATGAACATACCTGAAAACGTCACGCAGATACCGCGTCATGATGTACGAACATGTAGAGATACGTCGCGTTCGATCAGAACGCCTGCCTAACTTCAAGCGCGAGGGCATTTACGACGCCGAGTGAACTCGCACGAGACTAGCCGAGGGTATCTCGGGCCAGTCGCCATTTTGTTGGGTAGTCATCGGGATCGTCGTGTTACTCTCACCTCGGGATTCGTCGTCATTTCGTTCGGACGGACGGTGAAACACCGTGGGACTCGGGGCGCAGCTCTCCTACTACACGCCATCCCGCAAATGGCTTGTCTGAACACCCTCAAGCAGGAAATCAAAACGCTCGAATCTGTCTTCCCCAAGAGCCATGAGAGGTTTCAGATAATGTCCGCGAGCGTGGACGAACTCAGTTGCAGGTTCGTCGGTAAAAATGGGAAGAAGTATGAAATACACGCCAATATCACAGTAAGTGGAACTGTTGCGTGCCCGTACACGTAAGAGTATACGCGAGTGCTGCTTTTCGACCAACCACTGACTCTGTTTAACGCGTCCGTCGTGCATTTGTGCCTGCCTGCCTGCCTGCCTGCCTGCCCTGCCTGCCCTGCCTGTCTGCCTGCCTGCCTGCCTGCCTGTCTGCCTGCCTGCCTGCCTGCCTGCCTGCTTGCCTATCTGTCTGTCTGTCTATCTGTCTGTCTGTCTGTCTGTCTGCTTGCTTGCATGCCTGCTGCGTGCATCCGTTCGTTCGTTGCTTCCTTGCATCCTTGCTTCTCATCGCTTCCTTCGCTCGTACCTTACCTCGTGTCGCTCACTTGCTCTCTTGTGCATCTATCGTTCGATTGAAGACACACTGGCAGTCATACCGCTAATTTGCGTTCCGTGTCAGATGGACAAAGAAACAATGACTCAATACCTGCTGTTTAGGTCCTATTGACAGGACTCGCTTCTAACGGTACCGATTTTACGGTGCTCTCTCACTGCTACCTGTTTTCCCTCGATAGCTCGATCATCCTGACGCCGTTGCCATCGATTTTTTTTCCTCCGTGCATCACCGCCTCCTCGCTCATGCGAGGAACCCTTGTTTGGCAAATGAACAGTAAGCGATAAAGGTCGATGCTTGCTGTGAATTGATAGCGAGCTTTTCTTTCTCTCTCTCTCTCTTTCTCTCTCTCTCTCTTTCTCTCTCTCCCTCCCTCTCTATCTATCTCTCTCTCTCTCTCCCTCTCTCATTTTTCACGAGGTGCGTCTGTTGTTACGCGTCTATCTTTCCGTCGCGGATTTTAAAGAGTCGTGCATCCGTCAGCCTCACCAGTCCCCCAGGTCTGCGCGTTTTCCAGACGACGTCGTGTCTCGTGCTGTGACTGTCACGTTGAAAAGCGCCAAGTGACTGCATTTTTTTTTATCGATTCTAACGCACCGGGATGTTTAAGCAGGACGCGTTCAGCCCAAAAATGCCTCAACCGGAATTGTTGGCCAATTAATGACGCCGTATGTATTAATATCGTCGTCAGGATGTAGAGGTAGAGAGAAAGAGAGACACACGGACAGACAGAGAGGGGGGAGAGAGAAGGGGTGGGAAGGGAGACAGAGAGAGAGAGAGAGAGAGAGAGAGAGAGAGAAAGAGAGAGAGAGACAAAGAAAAAGGAGATCGTAAACCTTGCGTCGTATACAATGTGTCGCGCTCGATCGACCACAATCCCGCATGTCGAATGCGACTTAATCGTTGGGCGAAATTAACAAGGCGTTTCATCTCGTCTCGTAGTATGGAAGCGCGACGCGTCGTAGTACGCACGTAGACGACGTGCGGTGTTAGCGCGAAGAGCATGGCAATCGAGTGCGATCCCACTTTCCTTTTTTTCCTCTTCTCTTTCTTTTTTTAATGCATACGTTCCCCGTACGGTCACGGTGCGTGCTGCATCTCTGCATCTTTCGTGCATCATTTACCGATTGTGCGATAGATGTCAGGTGTGAAGTATGCGTGTGTTGCGTGTGCATGCGTGTATGTGTGCGTATGCGTGAACGTGCGTGCGTGCGCGCGCGCGCGCTTGCGTGCGTACACGGGAGAGTTAATTGTCGCGTTTTGAAGCTCTGTTCGTAAAATTTTGTTGCTGTAGAGTCCGTTTTCCTCTTTACGTATCGATATGTTGGTACGTTTACCCGCAATGCGAGCCACACATGAGAATTGATGTCTACGGTACAGCTGCATCAATGTTAATATTGTTTATACAGGAAACCTATCCTTCTACGCCACCAGTTTGGTTTGCCGAGTCTGAGGAAACCAGTGTTACGAACGCTGTACAAATTTTAAGTAACACAACAGGCCGTGACAACCATGTAATCAACCAAGTGGGAATCCTCCTGAAAGAACTATGCAGACTACATTCGTTACCAGAACCACCAGACGTCGAAAGACTCAGAACGGCCCTGGATCCTTTACGTTTAGGAGGACCAAACGAAGCCGTAGCACAGAGAATGGACGCCGAGGACGTTGACGACTTCGACGAGGACGAAGAGAGCGAGACTGAAGAAGACCTTCACTTGGACATGGACGAGGGAGATGCCAACGCTAAGAGTAAGGTAAAGGAAGAGCGATGTACCTGCAATTGGTTCACTGTGTGTTCATCTGCTGTTACTGTCATCTTGATTCTCTCATGGCACAGGGTGAAGAAATGGATTTGGAACATCTCGCGACGTTGGAAAGGTTGAGACAGAATCAGAGACAAGACTATTTAAAAGGATCTGTTTGTGGAAGCGTACAAGCCACCGATAGACTCATGAAGGAACTACGTGATATTTATCGAAGTGACAGCTTTAAAAAAGGTATATTATCCCTTGGAATTATTGGGTTCCATCCACTTAATCTAAATTATAGTGGTGTATTATCGTGTATTTCATTTGTACATATACTCATGCATCTTCTCTTTTAGGAATGTATAGTATAGAACTAGTAAATGACAGTTTATACGAATGGAATATCAGGTTGATGTGCGTAGATCCTGATTCACCACTTCATAGCGATCTCATTCTTCTAAAAGAGAAAGAGGGCAAAGACAGTATTCTTCTCAACATGCTTTTTAAGGTATCCTATTTGTGTAAACTAAACATTCTGAAGCGTGTTGCGCGATAGTTTGCGATTTTGAGTAAATTATTCGCACGTTGCAGGAAACTTATCCATTCGAACCTCCATTCGTAAGAGTTGTACATCCCATCATTTCCGGTGGGTATGTTCTTGTGGGAGGCGCGATTTGTATGGAACTCCTCACGAAACAAGGATGGAGTTCGGCGTATACAGTGGAAGCTGTTATAATGCAGATTTCAGCGACGCTAGTGAAGGGCAAAGCGCGTATACAATTCCAAGGATCAGGTGGTGCTGGCAAAGTGTGCGGTGGACAAGGCCAATATAGTTTGGCACGTGCCCAACAGTCATTCAAGTCTCTTGTACAAATACATGAAAAGAATGGTGAGGATATGCCCGTCCGACTATACGCTAGTTCCTTCGTGCCATTCGTAGAGTTGAAATTGATTTCATTTTGTGTTTCGGCAGGTTGGTTTACGCCCCCTAAGGAGGATGGCTAATGAACAGCGGTTACCCAATCGTACCGAGAAATATGACACGTGCTTACAGACGAGACTTTAATTCGGTGTGTGCCCAACAAGTAATTGTTATGATAATGATTTGATACACAAACACAGCAGTAACTAGGTAACTTAAGATATTGAATTAATCTAACGTATAATTCCTTTGATGGCTAAAAAAGCTGCCGTGCAGTTTGGTTTCGTATCTACAGATTTTTGGTCATTAGCGGTTAGATCGCTAATTGTGTATTGGTAAATGTAAGGTATCAATCGTTTCATCTGGAATTGATTCTTATGTTTTGACTGAGAATCCCCATTGTTATGAACGACATAGTAATTTTAGTACTTTCCCGAAGATACATATGTGTTGTACGTGCGAAACAGTATAAATATTCTGAAAAATGCGTTTGCGCAATCGTGCTTCCTGTCTTTTTAACGGGAGGAGATTATAGTTAGCATTTTTAGATTAATAATACTGGAGAGATTTTTAAGCGTTTCTTTCATTATTTTATTATTATAAGTACCACATTCTTTGTTTCCTACCAAAAAAAAAATGGATGTTTTTTGTGCAATTCAGTGACAAGAAAAGTGGATGTCACTTAATTTTTTGAAACCATTTTGCAGCCACCGGTATCTCATGAGCGATGTATTATGCGAGTGCACAACCAAAGCATTTCTCAACAAATTTAATCGGAAATAAAATGACTAAATAGGATATGAGATAAAAGTGTAGCTTCATATCGGGAGGCTCTAGAGAGTACACGATCATAGAAGTCACAAAAGTTTTAGCAAACTTTTCAGACTTGCAGTTAAATGTGTTTCGTAAAGCTAATTTTCTCTGTAAACAGTAATCAAGTCAGATTTTTGACACAAGAAGCAATATTTTTTTACATTCGGCAAATAGCGTATTCCGCAACATTGGTAGACTAGGTGATATGTAGAGCCTTGTAATGCTTGTATCGTGTACAACGCAGTAATTAATATGCATGTTCATCTTTTGCTTAGAAAGTAGGAGCGAGGCAGATACTAATGTATAAGTATCGTAAAGTCGTGCGCATTTTATGTTTTTCTCAGGTAGTAAAACCGTGAAACTTTGATTTGAGAGATCGTCGATTTTTTTCTATCGCAAGATTATTATTGAGAGATCGCCTGTAGAGCTTTCTATAACATAATACCATATATCCTGTTGTAACGTTCAATCGAGTATAGGAGTTTGAAAGATGTATAGATGTATATAATGCAAGTACTCTTTAGAGTCTTTTTACCAGAAGGCACAAACGCAATGGAAGCTTGAAGGTTTTGGTTGTGTGTTTCATCTAAATTCATGATTTGACTCTTTATTGTTTCCGATATGTCGCAGTTTCCTAGTTATAAAACGATACGTTGTGCCCATACAGACGATCTGTAATTTTTCTCTCAATACAAGATGAGCGAGCTGAATATTTTTTGGTGGAATTAATTCTTATGCGCAAATTTGTTTTCGAAGAGCTATCGGTTGCCCGCAAATAGTAATAATCAACAGTGACATAATTATTATTTGCACTAGTAATCCAATTACCATTGTTTACAATGATGCATTTATCATGATACATTAATTGACATCGGTAATTCGCAACTGACCACAATGGAGAAATTTTCTCGAATGATGATCATTTTATGCGCACCGCAGTAATCAGCCATCATTCGCGTGACGAGTAAATGGCCAAACTTTACGTATATACGCTTCTAAAGCGAATTTGTCCATTAGAATTAATAACGGATATCATAACGCTAATAACACACTTTAGTGACTTTAATTTTCGCTACCAAATTATACGCAAGCTACGCGAGCTGACGATTTGCTGTTTTCACGCAAAGGAAAAAAGGAAGAAAAAGAAGAAAATAACTGCATTAGATTTGTCCTCGTATTTTCGTATTACGGCATGGAAACTGTATAAATTGCAATAATTGATTCCTAATTGCTTTAATACTCTCCAAATTTATATCGCACTTACTGAGCATCTATGCATCTATTTGTTTCGTACATACATGCATACATACACGACACACATTGCCCCTTGATCGCGCGTACGCGCGCGCACGCACATACATACATACGTACATACACATAAAATACATGCATATATACATACACATATTCTGTTCCTCGTGCTTCATCTTCCTACGTGATTACAAATGTAGTTTTCGCTACTGCACATTTCCAACTGGGAAGAATTTTCGTTATTTCCCGTAAGCACATCACAACTGCATCTCTTTTCATTTTCTTGTAAATATTATATCAATATTGCAACAATAGCTGAGATCGAACGGTTGTATTTGAGTGACTCTCGTTTCAAGTATCGTTCTTTTTATACATATCTGTGAATCATTATCGCGTTTGCTCTCGTTAGCGAGATAAAGGAAAAAGCATACCCTACTAATATCGTATGGAGATGGAGCAAGTACATGTGTTATTTGACGAGATAACATATGTACACTGTGTATTGGTACACATGATTATTGGTATAACTGAATCGAGTAGCGTGGATCATTAGTTTCGTTCGCGGTACCGTTAAACTCGTTCTGTGAGGAAATCGTATGAGCAGTATCGTCATATAAATAATAGATTCTTAAGTATAGATGTGCGATCATCGAGCTCGTTGTCAGTGGGTATCACGATTTGTACAGCCGCGCCCGTTTGACACTGAGTAACTGGTTGTTCGACGTTCGTTATAAACGTTATGTTCTTCTTTGCCAAAACTCTTCTTCGTTCCCGTCTCTGTTAAGTTTTTCTTTTGTATATGATCGTATATGATCGCGGGGAGTAATGTGACATGTGTATATTTTTGCTACAAATATCGTTAAGACCTTTCATTTTTCGTAGAACATTCGACTCTTGCCGGCATTCTTCTTGACGGTTTTACAAAGATCTCTCGGCGTAAGGTCGACGATGTTGTACACACACGATTAGTTCGGTTTAATTATACATTTAATAAACGACGTATCACGAGTTAAAAAAGGATGACGATAGATGCGTAATAAGTAAGAAGATGAGAATAAGCCTGGCGCGCATGGCGCGCCGGGATTCGTTCAAGATTGTACATTTCGTTTTTTTTATTGTATACGAGAACTGTGCGTGTATAAAACGAAAGAAAAGCGCAAAGGTGTGAACGTTTGAGAATATCTACAGCCGGATGTTACACAACTACACTGGAATACACTTTTCAAACCTTTAGATTATGTGCAGCGCGGCATAGTCATAAAAGAAGAACCTACGACGTTATCACGTTATACATTCGAAGCGATCTATTTAAAGACTGATAAAGAAAAAAAAAACGAAGCGGAGCTTGAACGTTCTTTTCTTCCACACATATTACATCTGTAACAAAATGTATCTTTCACGCGAGACTTCGATTCGTGAGCATAATGAGCGAGAGACATATCTCTCTCGAGCGATTTATCCGCATTGAACGGGATTTTCTGCATTTTCTCTTTCACGAGAATGAGCGCGATTTACGAGATGAATGCGTATTCGAGAGGTATTTGTACGAGGGCAACACGCGGTGCCAATTCAAGAAGATGGATGTATTTGTATTTGTGGCAAAAATAGTATTTCGTCTAAAGTCTCTTTTCAAATTCGTTCGTTTCACTTTCTACGATTTATTATCGATGTGGATATATCTGTTTATAATTATCCGTTGTCGCGTTGACTCGCTTTTAAGTAAATTGCGAATTGATTTAACGACGAGATGTTTCCTTCTTCTCTCGTTTATTTTTATACTTTTTTTCTGTTTAAAAGGGAGAGCACCCGGTTCACGCGGAACATAAACGAGTGAACGAGGCTTGATGGGAGTGAGGAGTATATTTGGAAATTATAAGAGGAACATTAAAGAGAAAGAGATCCACACATGTACCTGGTTGCCGATCCATATTCTAATCTCTTGGTAGTCAGTAACAGTCTTCGTTTCGCTTGAACCGTGGTACCCGATTGTATCCGTTTGGTACTACTCGGGTTGTAAAACTTTGTGTATCATGTTAAGTATACTGCTATGACTTAACTCTCTCATATTGTAACATTCTCTGACGAGGGTCTAGACTTTCGGATCGAAGCAGCGTGTGTGTGCGTGTGTGTGTGTGTGTATGTGTGTGTGTGTATGTCGTACGCGTCGAGAGAAGTCGCGATTGATATCTCTCTTGTTTTCGGATTTGTGCCGCGCATCAAACGAAAATCGTCCCTCGTGTCCCGTTTTTCTCTTCGCGCACACGTGTTCTCTCTCTCTCTCTCTCTCTCTCTCTCTCTCTCTCTCTCTCTCCTCTCTCTCTCTCTCCTCTCTCTCCTCTCTCTCTCTCCTCTCTCTCTCTCCTCTCTCTCTCCCTCTCTCTCTCGCTCTTGCTCTCGCTCTCGTTTTCCCTCTTTCTTTCCTTTTTTTTCCCTTTTTTTTTTCCTTTTTTTTTTTCGTAGCCGCCGTTCCTTTTTTTTCCTTTTTTTTAGTAGCCACTTTCTCGACGTGGACGATATTCCCCGAGTCTAAACCCCATAAATTAAATTCACGTCTCACCATCTCTGTCTGCATTGTCCTACTTGCGTATAATTACCGATTACTCATCGGTCAATCGCGAACGATCGATCCATTTTTGTTAATCGGTCGTGTCGTTCTCATTGTCAATCTATAATCTTAAGATTACTCTACGTATCTTAAATCTGCTCCACTTGTATATCGTACCATTTATCGACTTGAGTGAAATTTCCATAATTCTCTAATATATCGAGCATTATACTTTCTCTCTCTCTCTTTCTCTCTCTCTCTCTCTCACTCTCACTCTCTCTCTCTCTCTCTCTCTCTCTCTCTCTCTCTCTCTCTCTCTCTCTCTCTCTCTCTCTCTCTCTCTCACTCTCACACCACGATATTTCACGTTAAGTTACGTTAATTATTATTTAGGAGAACGCTACGAAACAGAAAATAAAGATTTTAATAAAAAAGACAAAAAGACGAACATTCTGTGATCTCAATACTCGCATGTCATACTCGCGTGTTATCCTGCTTCGTCGTCGTTTTTATACATGTATCATCCGTCCACTTATCGCGAGCACACATAATCGTGTAATCATTTTATCAACAAAACTCGACCGCTTTCTCTCTCTCTCTCTCTCGCTCTCTCTCGCTCTCTCTCGCGGCCAGCGTCCCCACTCCGCGCTGTTAGTTCTGACGTTCAAGTGGGGGAAAAGCCGCCGTGGAAGACGCTTCCGAGTTTTGTTTTTACTACGCGCGCGAGTGTCTCGTGGCGAGGACGTCCTTGTGCCTAGTCTCCGTACACACGAGAGCGTACACACGATTGGTCTCGTCGCTGTATTTTTCACACGAACATTAACGCTCGACATTCCGCCAGTCGTGTGGTGGAATTCTCATTAATCCGTGGCCGGCACTTGCGAAATTTGCTCGTAAGATGACGGCCAAGCGATCGACCGATCGCTCGCCGCGATCGAAGCTGCGCATCGATCGATCTATCGTCCTGACGTGAGCTCTCGCAGCCACGTTCAGTTAACGGACACCCGCGGTGCGAGTTGGTGTCGTGTCGTAGTGTTCGCGGAAATTCGCACTCGTCAAGCGGCACCGAGCCACCGGCGACTTTGATTGTGTGCTCACGTCCAGCTGGACTCGATTCGTAATTCGGCCAAAGTGATCAGACGCATTGCAAGGAACGGACTCGCGACGTATTTGATCGCGCATCCCCCTCGCCCGCCGGCGCGGCGGAGGACAACGGCCGACATAGTGGTTCGTTCACGATGATTCGAGAATCGCTGTGAAGTTAGCGCGCGGTGTCCCTTCTTCGCGTGCGTCTCTCTCTCTCTCCCTCTCTCTCTCTCTCTCTCTTTCTCTCTCTTTCTCTCTCTTTCTCTCTCTACCGCTCCTCATCTCTCTTTCATTCGTGTAACTCGAGCGAAATAACGAGCGCGCTCCAGATCGGACGAGTGTCGGTCGTGTTTAGTCGACGATCGTAATTAATGGCCGGGCGCTTTTTCTCGCGCTCGCGTGATCGCGTAAATGAGTGTGCCAGTGAATCTTTCATCGTGTTTGGAGCCAGGAGAGGAGAATCATAATCGGATCAGTAGCCAGCGTTCGCGGAACGGGATTTGACGGAGCGCTGCGGGATGCGGCTGTGTGTCCTACCGGTGAGTAAATTCATTCATGCATTATACTTTAATTGAACCGAACGCGCACGAACATGCATGCGTTCGCGGAGAATTAATGGCGCATTTAACGAGGTGCTTCAAACCGCCGGCCGGGTTTCCCTTTAACGGGGCAGAAGTTTGGAAAAAGTATCTCGCGCTGCTGCGGAGCGTGTAACAAAGCATCGTAACGGTATGGCATCGTAACGAATGTGTACTCGTGGCCGAAATCACAACGTGGCTGATATTTGACGACCGAGCTGACGCTGATTTAATAACTCGCAGATTTAACGACTCTGTTTGATTAAGTCGATCTCAAGGGCGTAGCGTGCCGAAGGACGCGGCGTTGCGCGGTAAACAAAGCGGCTGCTTTCGAGTTTCGTGAGCGTGACCTTGGTATTATTACAGGCACGGAGAATTGATCGTCAATTTTGCGCCTTATTCACGGGCTCAAATCGTTTGATAGTGTTCTTTCGTAATCGCGAAGATAAATATCTCTATTCTCTTTCTCCCCTGACTTCATGTCCGCGAAGACGAATAAACCGAGCTGCGGATGTTTTCGCTGGGTAAATAAACGAAAGTACCATCGTGAGAGACTATCGAATTTTCCCAACACCGATGTGACGCTACGTGTTTATGAGAGACTCCAGGCGCGTCGTTTGTATCTAGTTTATTTACTGATTGAATTTTATTTATTTTCCGTCTTTGATCCGCTTTACACTCTTCATTCATCCATCTAATCCATCGAATGTGATAAAAACAGGTCGTCCCGTGTTTACGAACTCTAATTAATCATCTCGCCTAAAGAGCCGCGAGAGGATATTTTTCTGGATCAATACAGCAACTCGTATGTGAAATCTTTGTTAATTAGAAATTAATTAGGTGTAGAGACAAGGGAAAAAAGTCCAAATCGATAAAGAGGCGGTTCATTCTGCGAGAAAGGGGGCCGGGGGGGATTTTATTTATGGGAATTAAGGGTACAGAGTCGATGAATTTTTTTTACAAAGAAGTATATGAATATATCGGACACTTTGAAAAAAAATCTTTATGTTCAAAAATCTATTCTCTGTATGTCGAGATGAATATTTATACAACGTAGAGTAAATATTGGGACAGTATCTTTCGTGATGGTAATATTCATTGCTCGAAAAGGATTGAGAAATCGCTTTTTTAGACGCCTGAAGCATATTGAATCACAGTATTGAATCTCCTTCGTCAGTATTCACTCGAATTGAAATTTATTATTGAAATTGATTTACTGTAAATCTCGAGAATGCTGATTTGTGCCTCTAATTTCTAAGGCGAGCCCTATCGTGAATATCTGTTTTTTTTTCCGTTTAACATTGTTATTTTATCGAATTTATCCTTTTATCTGTGCACAACATTGTTGAGCACAAAACAGTTGAACGAACATATTTGTATTTCGTCTTTTATTTTCGCGGTTAATTTGGAGTTATATAACTGTTTAACTATTCAATCGATATGGCGGTCCCCTAATTGCCGTGGGCGTTGCATTTTCATTAATTTATTGATTTTATTTAGCATGTTATTAATTTTAAAATATTAATTTTAAAATCGGTATTGATACCTAGGAAAATACTCCGCATTGCGCACGCTCGTTGAAAGCTCCACTGAAGGGATTTGCCTTACGCGATTAGTTTCGCTGGTGTTACTTGCTACATTGTGTCTGTTGTTTATGACATTGCGTTCTCGCGGAGATATAAACGTTGGAAGTCGCTGATCCACATATATGTACGTAGTACGCGCAAGCAGGTCTGATCGCTAATTTCCCCTGCAGAGAGAGACGGCGAAAGAGAATACTAATTTTCAGTTATCGCGGTAATCGCGGCTTTCACGGTCGCTCGGATTAACTCGTCGCGAATGAATCGCTTTATGTGAAATTAATTAGCTCGACGATGCACAGAGGGCTTCTGGAGTTTCAACATTCAATATCTTTGTATGTAAGCGTCGAGATTCCATTGAGCCAAAAAGGCCCGCTCCAATTTGTCAGATTAGATTAATTAGGAGAAAGAAAAACTTGATCCCTTGATCCGCATTCCCGCTCAATTCTCACCTTTGAACATATCTGTTAAACTGACATAACTACTTTCGCACAATCGAATGCGGTTCGTAGAAATTTAATGCTTTTTCATTGTCACATTGTTACTGTATTCGCGATTTGTGCCTGAAAGAATAGTTTGTACAACATACCATAAAAAGATGCTTTTAAAAGTAATATTTTAATGTATCAGTATCTATTCTAACTGGTAATATTTCAATTGCTGTTAGTTAATGAAATATCACTTTCCAATCGCATTTTATTAATTCATCTTGAACGGTCAGCAGAAAAATTATACATGATAATAGATGCTTAAAAATATCAGCTTTTCAATGAGACCTTAACCCATTAATGCCGGCTGGGATAGAAATTTCGCGTTGATCTCAATGTTATGAATTTTTATGAAAATGCTCGAAAATTTTAATCCAAAGTACATTACCAGGGATTTGCGAGATCGCTCTTTCCGAATCCGCTGCGAGAATAATAAAAAATGAGTGTTTGTATTGATTTGTAACGGGTTTTTTTTTCCAAAAAATGCGATTTTTTCTCGTCAATTTTTTTTTAAATCACGGATTTCCTCCTTGATAAAAATGTTGAATATTACTGAAAAGTACTCCAATCGTGTCCTCGAGACTTGTAATTTCAAAAATACATATCTGGACGTAAAATTTTCTGTACTTTTCAAATCTGTAATAAAAAATATAAGTTTTGCACCAAAAAATCAACGTTGGGCTCCGTTAAGCCCAAAAAGTACATCGGACCTAAATTTGGGGCCTACCACGTGAAAGAACTCGATCAACAGGACAACTTTAATTTTGGATAATTTTTCGTAAAAATGCACTCATAACGAGTTATTCGACGGAGTTTCCAAGAATCTGGCGATATCTATGGTGATATATGCATACGGTCGTCATATTGAAATTACTGAATTGCAAAAAATTTCAGAACCACATATATTTTAAGTACAAGTCTCGAGGACACGATTGGAGTACTTTTCAGTAATATTCAACATTTTTATCAAGATGAAATCCATGATTAAAAAAAAAAAATTGATGAGAAAAAATCACATTTTTTGGAAAAAACCGTTGCAAATCAATAACACTCATTTTTTATGATTCTCGCAGCAGATTCGGAAAGAACGACCTCGCAAACCCCTAGTAATGTACTTTGGATAAAAATTTTCGAGCATTTTCATAAAAATTCATAACATTGAGATCAACGCGAAATTTCTGTCTCAGCCGGCATTAATGGGTTAACGTAGCTTAATGCTACGTCGATACCGGGTTACATGGGTCTTAGGTACTTCAACTCTAAATTAGATCCTTATCACACATGTTTCCGTTTTATTACCTTCGCGCGCTGGCGGTGAATAAATAATTTTCAGAATATCGCAAAGAGTTAGGAACAAAATGACATCGAAAAGATACATGTTAGATTTTACCACAGTGATTTCATCCGCTTGATGAATCTCCCCTTCTCATTCCTCTCTTTCTCGTTAAAATTCTTTCCCCTTTTACCGCTCACAGTTTCGAAACTCTCGGTCTCTCGACAATGTCCCTCGAGAAGTAAGAAAGGCAGGTACATTTTGCATCTTCGGCAAGGCAATGCATCGTGTCCTGTTACAAGTTCCACTCATTATTATCGTACGTGCAACCGTACCAACAAGTACGTCGAGTTTGTCGCGACGAGTAGCTCGTGTCTCGTGCTCTCTCTCCGCCCTCCTCTCCCCCGCCTCCCTCCCTCTCTCTCTCTCTCTCTCTCTCTCGCTCTCTCGTAAATTAAACGTACGTAGGGGCAGACTCGCGACTCCGTAGAAACGCGCGCGCAATCCCGCCGTGTCGTAGGAAACGTAGTGGTGGTCGGTGCAGACGACGGCCGCATCCGACCGTCCGTAAACAGTTTACGGATGCATGCGTTTAAGCGCGAGTGAGCGCGTAACGCGCTGAATCACGAACAAAGGGTAATAGCGCTCGTAACTCGAATATTAACAGGGTCTGGCTCGATTCAATTTACCGCGGCGCGGTGGCCAAAATTGGTTCGTCTAACACCCCCGCCGTTGATCCTCGTCAGTCGCACGTTCACCGGCGTTCGCTCCGCCGACGGCGTCTTCGCTTCGCGAAGCCTGCCGTAGCGATACCGGACATTGGCCACGGATGCGCAAACACGTGTATACACATCGTCATCCACATACCCCTCTCACGTCGATACGCGTTCGTCGCGGCCGCGGACGCGCGCGCGCGCGCACTCGTGAATCTACACCTTCGCCGCACGAGCAGCTAGACGAAGTATCAACAGGTGCTGTCAGTCGGTTGTTTCGCTTAATCGGTTTCTATTCTGTCCGAGACTTCTAAGCTTCGCCCGGCAATTCCTGACACTCCCCTGGGGGAATCTTAGACACGCGCCAGACACCCGTTCCGCGCCATTTCCGCAGCGTCGGCTCGAGCGTGCAGCTTGTTAGAGCTTACAAATGGCGTTTAAACCTGAAGAAGAACAGGGAGTAGCGACTTGCCGGAACGACCGGGCTCGAGCGCGATTGTATAATCGAGATGCGACTCGACCACACTCGGCCAATTACTTCCGACCGCGAATTGACCTCTCTGATGACACGGAGTGTCGCGGATGGAAGTCCGCGTTTTGCGAGTTATCTCGTTTCCCTTTGTAATTTACCCCCGATGGCCACGTGACCCGCGGAGTTCAGTCGACTGAGTCGTTCTGCTGTCGCGTCAATTCCGATCTCTTTCTCTCTCTCTCTCTCTCTCTCTCTCTCTCTCTCTCTCTGTGTGTGTGTGTGTGTGTGTGTGTGTGTGTGTGTGTGTGTATCGCGAGAGCCAGTTTTGTGCTGTTTCATTCACATGCAATTAAAGGATACTCGATTCTGGCAGGATGAAATAATAAAACGCGTCGTAAACGGCCGGCAATGAGGTAAGTTTGGCACTCGTCCCGT